ATCCATTCCGATATTTTTCTGGCGGTCCGTTTGGTTCTCAATCTTCCCTCACACCTCCTCATTGATCATTAAGTAATAGGTGCTAATAATGCTAATGCTTTATCGCAGAAAGAAGCTTTGATACCGACTACCTACCTAGGTAAAGAGCTCGGCTCCCATGCTTTCATTATTCGGACCTATGCTCCGCAGTTTTATGTTCTTTCTAGCAATCGGGTTGACTCGTTGATGGTTAGTATTTATTGCTCCTCTAATAAGGTTAAACTGCTTAATATATGACGTCGATCCTGTGCCCTGCCGCTCAAGGAACGGCTCGAAAATTGATATAACGCCCGAGACTAACATTTTGAGGCAGTGCTACCGGGGCCTAGTGATTAACCTTCCTCGCAGAGTTGCAAGTGAAGCGTTGAATTCGTCGATCTCGACGTTCTAGTTTCTTTGCACGCACCGCTGTGCAATTTAGGTGCTATCAGCGTTCCCTAACGGTCTTCTTTTCGATCGAAAATGTTCTGTCTGCTTATCAATCAATTGCAATCTGCACTGACATCTAGATGTCACAACATGTTGATACTTTATAGATATTTCCCTCTGACCCGTTTTGAAATTTAACCTTGCATGCCTTCCAGAATCCAGTAGCTCACATTCGTTGGTACATTTACAAATGCTCGCGTGCTAACAACTTTTTACCACGGGAGACACGCCGAGAGAGCCAATGCCTAATAAACTTGATCATGTTCCCACCACGAAGCAGCCCAAAACGCGGCCACCGGCTGGATTTCGCGAGAAGATATTACGGAAGCCATTGCCATGGTATAGCGGACCATATTCAGTTGGACAAATGGACATTGAAGTACCCGTGCGAGAACCAAGGACATTCTCCAATATCAAAAGACAACATAAGCATGTTTTAAATCTCGAGACGGTCCTCTTCAGTGTTTTCTACCCTTCAAGTTTTGGGTCCGGCGAAGGGGTCTCCCCAGAAGGGGAAAAGAAATGGAGTCGAGCGACATGGCTACCGAGGCCTCGGGTTGAGGTGGCAAAGGGTTATAGTAAATTTGCTGGCCTTCCCTCATGGCCTACTATGGCATTCTTCGGCATGACAACTGCCTTCACCAAACTTCCTGCTTTTCGCAATGCCAAGTTGGCAAAACATTGGCCGCCCGAAAATGCCCGAGAATCCGAATTCGGATACCAGACGAAAAATACCGCGGGAGAACCTCCACCTGGAGAACCAGAGTCACCATGTTTTCCATTGTTGATTTTTAGTCATGGCCTAGGAGGAACCAGAACTACATACAGCTCTGTCTGTGGGGAATTTGCCAGTTATGGGTTTGTGGTTGTGGCTATAGAACATCGAGATGGTTCGGGACCACGTACTTTCGTCAATTTGCCAAAGATGGGCGATAACTTTGGATCACAGAATGTAGATCATTCTGACGAGGCGAGAGAGAAAGGTTATGAGAGATTTGATTATGTTTTTCCAGAAGGAAATGCCAGAGACACTACACCTAATAATGAAAAAGGGTGAGCTAACCCAACCACATTTGATTAAGAGTCCAAAAGACTCGGTGAAAAAAATCGGGACTTTCAGAACGTATTTAAAGGTTTCGGGAAGCTTATCCAAGTGGACCGTTTTACATCCTACCACTAGCTATTCAAAAAATACAGAACGCACACTCAAAAGACCGATTGCAAACACAGATACACAATCACTAACTCACTTCTTTTAGCGTCGATGGTGAACTTCGCGCTGCCCAAATACAACTTCGCCTCGCTGAAATCGAAGAAGCCTACTATGTCATGACGCAAATTCATGATGGAAATGGAGCTCGAATCGCTGAAGCCAACCTTCGGCAAAATTCTCCTGGTCGCATCGGTGGCTCTTCCCGTGGTCTAAAAGGTGTCGACTGGCAAAGTTGGGAGAACCGTTTCCACCTCCAACAGGTCACCATGCTTGGACATTCTTTCGGCGCCGCTACTACAGTCGAAGTTCTCCGCTCCCAAGCTGAACGATTCCCATACATTTCGCAAGGGATTCTGTATGATCCTTGGGGAGGCGCAATCCAACAAGCAGATTGTGAATCAAAGCATCTCATTCACAATCCTTTACTCTGTATCAACAGCGAAGCATTTATGTATTGGCCTTCGAATTTTTCTAGAATCATGTCACTCTGCCGCGAAGCCAAATCACAAGGGACGCTGTGCTGGCTTCTCACTGTCCGTGGTAGCGTACACATCTCGCAATCAGATTTTTCGCTCCTTTATCCGAATGTTAGCAGTTTCATGCTAAAAATGACCGTCAATCCACGGAGAGCCATCGATTTAAATATTAATGCTAGTCTTGAATTTTTGAAAATGGTAATGCCAAGGAGAATAAGCGCAATGAACAGAGGCACTAACGAGGGGTTGCTGGAGGTCGAACAATTAGATGAGTTACCACATGTGCATCAGCCTAAGAAGAAATATATTGCGGGTAGATTGAGAATTCCACATGAAATGCGCATTCGATTAACACCACAGTGGATACGGATGACGAAAGGGAAGACGAAGAACTGTCACGAAAAGTGCGCTTGTAGGAATGGGAGACGGAAGCCGAAGAAAAACATCGCGACAGATCCACAAGGAAAGATCCTGCCAGGCTTAGAAGATTTAGAAATTGGAGAAGAGATCTGGATGCATGTTGCGCCGACGGCGGAAGAGCTGAGAAAGCATGGCATTGGAGGCAAAAATGGAAATCAAAGTGCGGCTAATGAGAGGGATAGAGATGAGGGGAATAGCGATGGTATGGTTCATTCTGAGGGGCCAGGGGAGGGAGCAGAACAGAAGAATGAAGGGGGTGGGCTAGCGGGCCATAGAGGAATTGAGCAGAGGATGATGGAAAGAGGGTGAGAGGTAATGGGTAGGGAGGTTTTCATTAATATCAGACTGTATGTTGTACAGACAAGTAAATATTGTAAAAATTGCAAAACAAATCGAAATAGATGTAGATCAATACACCGGTAAATGATACCGATACTGTTTTTTCTACAATACACATAACACAGTCACAATCACAGTCAATTACCTAGGTCTTCACAAACAATGCTTTGTTTCTTCACTGAAAATTCCCATCTATTTCTATTCTATACGCAATACAAACAATTCTACACCTGTAATGCCCCAACCCAACTCTCCCACAGAATCTCCCTCTGTATCCAATGAAACGTCGAAACCCCCTCAAACCCACTTCGTCATACAAAACCCTCCTATCTAAGTGCCTACTCTGCAATAAGTAAAACTCGGAACTCGGAATTGTAAAACAGATGGAAAAAAACTTGGCATAACATTCTGAGCGGGGTAGTGCAAATATGATAGTGGGTGTAAGCTTGTGGGCTACCTATGAGGCCATGAGTGTCTACTGCGTCGTAAATTGCAATATCCGATTCAACTTTTCTGCCAGCTTTCAGGGAAATCTACCCCGTGTTCGGAACGGGCCGCAGCTTGGAGTGTGTGACAGATTGTGTGCAAGGGAATGGAAACTGGGAATGATTGATGAACAATGTAAATATTTATGCTTTATGGAATAGCTGTATAGGTACCTAGGTAGGTAGATGTGGAATAGTTGTACAGATACCTAGGTATGAAATGAATCTTGGAATGAAGCAGCATAAAAATATATATGATCTGTGTGTACCTACATAAGCACAACCTGGGCAATGAGCCAAGCTGACATATACATGCTAGGTGGTGATTATGGTAGAGCTGGGAATACACCGGTACCGTACCGTACGTAAGATACATCCAGGCCTCGACACCTAGATCCTGGCGTCGATCATTTTATGCCAATTTTTTTCATGAGTCCGTAGATGGCATTCTGGGGTGGAAAAAGAAAAGGAAAAGAAAAAGGAAGGAAAAAAAAGAACTTTCGATTCCGCAGCAGACCGGTGGATCTGACTGAACCCCATGTTACTGATGGATACTTACGAAGCACTTAGGGGAAGGAGGCGAGTGAGAGATAGGTAGAGAGGGAAGGAGGCGAGTGAGGTACATAACAATGGATAATACCTCCCTAGGTATGTGCATATGCAAATCTATAATAGGTATAAATAACAAAGGGCTAACCCTTCTCCGTAAAGCGTAATTCAACCTTAAACATCCACATCGCCGACACTCATTCTCATTTGGTCCTCAGATAAACTACAGTGACAACGAAAATCATACGTGCAGCCAATATCGATTTCAGCACCTGCGCCAAGACATAACACAGACATCACACACATAACACGAGCGAAAAGTATCGATGAAAGACAAGGTTTTTTCTCAAACTGTGAGGTTCTTTCATCATTTGTTCATTTGTTAACACATGTTACCTCATTACCTGTTACCACTTCATTTTACCAATCTGTCTAGGGGTGGTGGTGGGGTGGGGAGAGAAAGAGACCAAAAGAGACCAAAAGAGACAGAAAAGAGAAAAGAGCCTGTTAAAACGTATCGATCTGGACCACCCAGAGAATCTGCAGAGTATTATTACTGGTATTTGTCAAGTGCTTTTCTTTATTTCCATCTTGTTTTCTATCCAGTGACAGTTGCGATGTGTGTTCTTGATCATATCGTATCATATCACTTCACCAACAAAACATAACATCTATCCATCACGAGGTAGCATCAGCTTTCTTTACTCTCTACGACTATTGCATCAGCAGTAGACTTTCTGTTTCGCTTTTGATTTCCATTTGATCTTGATATTCCTGCCACTATTCCGTAAATTCACTTTTACGATTATATTGTGGAACAATAGAAAGGGAAGAAGACGATTCTTCGTCAATCTCATTGCTTTATATCAATTGCTCTTCTCTACTTACTAGATACCATCACAATCACCACATCATACCCCGATACCAGCATTCACTACTCTGAGTCATTTAATGAGAGCTGCGCCGAAACGCTCAAATGTGTCAAGTACGCCATTGACCCTGTACTTTGATTGATCATCTATCACATTTCAACCCAGGTACAATCTCGAAATGAATTCCAAGGAGAAAGCGAAACATGGCCGCTCGGAAACGGTACGGAGAAACACACTTGAACGTATGCTCGAGTTAGAGAACAGGAGCAAGGTACGCAAAAGAATACCTCACATAGCCAAGTATTATTGCCTAACATACATAAATTAGCTGCAGCGCATGCAAGCCTCGACAGCAGCAGTCAGTCAACCGCTGCGCAATAGCTTTTTCCGCGAGAGGCGTCCGAGCAATTCTAATGTATACACCAACTTTCCTCCCGAACGTCCTGTCCCATTCAGACAACCAGATCGAGCAATGACTGTCCCAACATTATCCGTTGCGGTGCCTCCTGCGCAGATATTCGAAACCCCCAAAACAGCACCCAAAGCATCTAAAAAGGTGTTTGTGGTTGAGCCGGTGAAGGAAAAGTCCCCGCAGATTGTTGCAGATATAAATGCAGACGATTCTGATGCATCCTCGATATGCCGGTCGCCGGCTTGGGATGGTGGTGACGGCAAGCAAAGAAGAATGGCAAAGAAAGAAGCTCAAGACATGCGCAAGAAGGAAGAAGAGCGGCTAAGAAAAGAGAAAGAAAAGGCCGAAAGGGAGACCCGAGCCGCGGCACAAAAACAAAAGGGTCGATTGAGCAAGGCGCCTCCAACCAACAAGCGCCTAAGTAAGACGATCCCCGCAGTTCCAGTGGGTCGAGCCAACTCTGAACCTGCAGTACAAGTTGCGCCGGAAACTATACAATTGAGTCCTGATCCCGATGATGGTAGACGATCAAGGCGAACGAGTTTGGATCTTGGTCTCAAGAAACTTATGTCTTCTTTCAGATCCAGATCCAGATCCACAAGCATTTCTGCGGATGCAACGCCAAGAAATCAAACAACCTCGAGTTCTCCAACCTCGACCGGATTCATTGGAGGCTTAAAATTGCAGCAATCCAGTGAAGCGGCGGCCCAAAACGAACTCCGAGACGGGAAATCGTCAAATAGCAGACCAGCCAGTCACAATAACAAACCTAGTCAGAGTCGACCCCCCATATCACTTGAGAATTCTCGATATCGTACATTGGACCTGATGGCTCCGTCTGGAACCAGTGCACCTGCTGTCGAACTCCCAACTAAATCTCAAAGTGAGGACTCTTATAGGCCCCACACTCTGAAAGGGCCGGAAGCCAGTGAACAGCCCGCTAGTGATCTAGAACCAATCATGAATAGAAATCCTCGAGCCCGAAAACCGAACGAAAATTTGAGGTTGGATCATGTCACAGAGTCAACAGTGAATTATAAGGCCAATTATAAGCCTCAGTCGCCGCATGCTGCTCCGCCATCTCCAGGCTTTAGATTTGGCTTGGAGAAAACCTTACCATCAACCCGAAAAGTACAAGAACCTTTGTATTCTCAGACTTTTGATATATCTCCTGAAGATACCAATTCTGACAACAACGAATATTTTCCACAGCAAAAAATCCACGGCAAAGAACGAGATTTAAGCAGCTCAACTCACGATATCAAATTGGACGCCGCTCCGATACAAGAAGTTATGAGACGAACACCGTCAATTCATAATGCGACTGGACGTAGTAGGCCGGTTTCTCGAGCTAGAGAAAGTGCGGAAGTGGTGGACCATGAAGAAGATTTTCGGGCATTCATAGGCGATGAAGACACTCCTCCAGGTTTCAGGCTCACTGCGCAACCGTCCCAGAGCAGTATTCAACCAGAAGAGGGCATGTTCTCTAGGCGCGATTTGCAAGCCCCATCTTTCTATCCAAGCCCATTATCGCTCCAACCCAAAGGAGCCAAGAATGGTACAGCAAATGTAAGTCATAGATATTCGTCTGCCCCAGACTCGCCTTCTCTGCAAACCTCTCATCTGGATGAACCTCTTAAAAAGTTACGCCCGCAATCTACTTTTTCGCCACGTGCCGCTGGCTTCGATAGCAGATCTGAATTACCGAGCCAATCTGCTCGGAGAGTATCAGAACCTCAATACTTATCTCCCATCGCTTTGTCGCCTCTAGAAATCAATCCTGTGCCACAGCAGAGACTCTCTGCCCAAACGGTCAACCCAACTTCACCTCGTCGCCAGAAGGACCGAAGATCCAGCTCTAGATCTTACACAGGATCAAGTGAGGAATACCTGAGTTTCGATGAGCAGTCCAGTATCACTACCCCAACAGTTTCAAGACCACAGTCGCAGAAGGGCCCTATTGCATCTAGTCATGATACCGCATCTCGCAAGTATCACAAAGTCCAAGATTCTTGGAATCAAACTCCGATTCCGGTTAAAATCAAGGACGAAGAAGGCAATACTTATACGCTAAGTGGCCAGGCCACTTCTACTTCCCAATCTGCAAATCTTCATGCGTCTCTAGCTTCTGCAGATCCCAACACAGATGCGGGAGTTGCAGATCTTCAACGGAGACTCAGTTTGAGCAAGTCGTCATCAACTACTGCGCTGCAACATACTTTGAATTTCCTACCAGAGCTCAAACATCAACCATTGCGTCCACGACAAGGTCCTGGGAAACGACAAAGTAGTGAGGGAAAGAATGTACTTGGGAAAGGAGATGGAAATGGACACGGGCACGGTGGAAAGCCAAGACGAGAATCGGCATCTACCTCTGCTTACGCGCAATACAACGATTCCAAAAACTCACTTATGTCATCATCTGCTTTTAACGGAGGCGAATCATCAAATTCCAACAGCAATTCCAGCTCTTCCGAAAAAGACAACAGTAACGACAGCAGCCAATATCTTCGATCAGCCCGTCTCGCGATCCCACCCAGAAAAGGCCCTCGCATGTCCAACCAAATCGCAGCTTCTTCAGCACAGAGTCTTCACAGTAATGGACAGGGAGGGATTGAACCGATGGCAAAAATGTTTGTTATTTGCTGTGGATGCAATTATTTCCATGACATGCCGAGTAAACTCTACGAGTGCATGGCAAAACCGGAGGCAGTGGTTAAGGACGAGGGATTGGGAGTTAGTGGGGTGGTTAGCACGAGGGTTAGTTGTCCTTGGTGTGGTCACGGGATGAGTACGAGGTGTTGTGAGGGGTGGGCAGCGGTGGTGGTTCTGAAGGAGAGGATGCATTAGGGGGTTATGGGAGGATAAATAGGCGAAATGAGGAAATGGAGGGAGGGGAGTTAATGATTCATGTTTTATGGGAGTGAAAATTTAGCATAGGGTTGGATGGTAGACCATGGTATGGGAATAAACGAAAAACTTGGATCTATTTCAAAGTTGGGAATGGGAGATCTAGCTCGGTTGAGTTTGGACATGGAAGCAGGAAAATATTAGACGCATGGTATGGTATGAATGATATGACAGCATTGCATGGATAGATGGATATTGAGGCAAGGTGGAAGGAAATTCACATGGATAGGATCGAATGGATGATTTATTTGTCAAATGAAAGGTTAAAATGGGATACAAGATTTACGATAATGATACGCATATACGCGGGGATATAATTGGGCAATGGGTTTTGGTTTGTATGCAATTTTTGTATATGGAGGTGGATGGAGAGAGAGGAGAGGAGCTGAAGTTTCGGGGAGGAGCTGAAAGAGAGGGCGGGGCTGTTGGGGTCGGTTATGGTGGTTGTGGTTGTGTTGTGGTTGTGTTGTGGATGTAATGCGATTGTGGTTGGACTTGAGATTGGGGGACCTTGTGATATAGGAGAAGATCCGATATCTACCTAGGTAGAAGTAGAATGAATGAATGGATGGACGGATGAATCAATGACAATTTTATGAACATATTGGTAAAGGGATAAATGGATACTTTGTGATATGTGTGAAAAGTTACTATGGATACCTACCTCCCTATGTATTCGAGAGATTCGAGAGATTTAGCTAGAGTCATTTTATGTGGAAATAAGACGGGTTGATGTGTAGGTAGGTATTCAATGCAGGATTATAAATGTTAATTCGAGGACCTGAGGAACTGAGGTAGGGAATGAATAGGCAGGTAAATATCTAGGTAGGTAGGGTGTGGTGTTCGCTAATGGAATATCGAATATCGTGGGATTTCGATCATCTTTCCCCATCTTTTCCATTAAATTTTCAACAACAACAACAAATCATTCCATACCTCCTTCCAACCAAGAAATATCGAAAATGGTGGAAAAAATACGTACGACTTCTGAGGACTGCGTGCTGAGATTTTTTCCATGAACAGCAGAGCGTACACTCTACCTCCTCTAGAAACCTTACAAAATGTTGCCTGTCCGTTTCCTGTCCTCCGTGAGTAAGTTTCCCTTGTAAGATCGACTGATTCTGTGTGCTTGATTGGAGTCCTCCCCACTTTACCTGTTCAATATGGAATAGCCATGTAGGTTTGGTTACATTGAAGGTAAGCAAAAACACGTCAGCACGCATGAATCTTTATGTCTGATATTGGAACTTGGAATGAATGTCAGACGATGTTCTGTTGTTTCAATTCAGAGTTCAAAAGACTGATCGAAGTCGGTGCTGAATCAGCTGATTTTTAATAGTCGGACAAATTTGTTGATCAATCACTCAGAATGCGCTCATTGTTAAAAAAGCACTTGCACAGAAACAAATCGAGCAGGGGCGATTCGGGTGATACCTTGTCATCAGCTACGTCGTCGTTGACTAAGTTATCAGTTCAGTCCTCTACTAAGAACGAAAATTCACGAAAGTCATCAATTACATCGTCGTCAACTGCACTGCCTGTACCATTACAGATCGATGCAGAGTGTGTGCAGAAGGATGGATCTCCAAAGCACTTCTGGCATGATGCAGTTCAAATGCTGCAAGAGGACCCGAGCCATCGGGAACTTCTGGATACGTACCAAAAAATCTTACAAGCAGAATCAGGAGCGACCCTGCCTAGCGATAGCGCAGCACCAGATTACTTGTTGAAAACAATCGACCGCAGTCTTAAGCTTCTCGATGAAAAGCGTTCGAAAATCAGAATGGGAAGTGCTACCGTGGAAGTAAGGGATGCTCTCAACAAAGTCGCCAAAGCTGCACAGTATGCCCAGTCTTTTGTTGGCTCTTTGGTGTCGGGAGAGCCTCATGCGGCGATGGCCTGGGCTGGCCTGAGCTTGTTCTTGCCCGTAGGTCAGTACATATATCTCAATGATTTTCGGTCTTGATTAATGTAGTATTATAGCTTTTGATAAATGCAGCTGAGCAACCAAAAGCTCTGACTAAGGGCGTTGAGTATGTTTCCGAATTACTTTGTCGATTCTCCGTCACCGAGCGGTTGTATCAAGAGCAAATCAGAGATACCTCAGCTTTTGTCATCACAGATACTAAAAAGCTTCGGTCAAACTTTGAGAAAAGTCTTACGGAGCTTTACGCGCAGGTGCTACTGTATCAATGTCGCGCAATAAGTCAGCTGCATTCCTCGAAAGTGATGGGTATTGCGAAAGATATGTTCAAATCAGAAAATTGGGATGATTTATCCAGCGAGCTCAAAGAATATGAGACGAAGTGCAATAGATACAAAGGTGTCTTGGATGCGAAGAAAATGGAGAGAGAGTTTCGTAACTTTGAGAAATATACGAAAGGTCGAAATGAGATCGATATTTCATGGCAACACCAAACAAAAGAGACTCTCGAAAATCTCAAGCATGATCAGGATTTACGGGCCGAACAACGTCAAGTAGAACTAGAGAATGACTGCATCCGGAAATTTTATGTGTCGGCTTATGAGAAACAGATGAACCGAAATCCAGATACTGTCAAGGGTACTTGTCGTTGGCTACTTGACAACTCAAATTGGAAAAACTGGAAAAATTCCGAGTTATCTTCTTTACTTTGGGTTTCTGCTGGCCCCGGTTGCGGAAAATCAGTGGTATCGAAGATGCTAATCAAAGCGCTATCAAAGACTTCCTTGCCGGGAAAACCTCGAACCATCTGCTATTTCTTCTTCAAAGAAGGTGATACTTTGCAAAGAACGGCAGAAAACGCTTTATGTGCTATACTGCACCAAATTCTGAGTACCCCAGGAAATTCAGGGCTCGTACGGCATGCGATTCCACCCTGCAACAAGAGCGGGGTTGATATCCGTGAATCATTTGCTCAAATGTGGGAGATTCTGATGGATATTGTGCAGGACGAAGCAGCCGGCGAAATCATCTGTATCCTTGACGCACTCGATGAGTGCGAAGAGAAAGAGGGTAGCGGCCGCTACATGCTCATTGAGAAATTTCAAAAGTTCCATAATGACTACATAGAGACGACGAATTCTAGAAACACATGTTTTAAGATTCTTGTCACTAGCAGGCCTTATGTTGGCATTAAAAGAAAATTCAAGAGCTTGACAAAGAGAGATTCTACAATTAGATTATCGGGGGATGAGGAATCGGCAAAGATCATCGAGGAAATTGATCTTGTAATCGAGGAGAAGGTAAACATGCTGAAAGTTCAGTTGGAATTGGACGATGAAACAACCTCTGCGTTGAAAAAAAAGCTACGGAGCATGAAACACCGAACGTATCTCTGGCTGAGGTTGATTTTCGAATTTCTCGAGCAGCAACTCAAAACAACTAAGAATTATTTGCTTGATGTTATTGGAAAACTTCCGGGGACTGTCGATGATGCATATGAAGCTATTTTAAACCGAATTCCGAAGAATGAGTTCGAAAGAGCCAGGAGGCTTTTGAGCATCGTTGTTGTGGCAGAAAGGCCACTGCTTGTACAGGAAATGAATGTTGCTCTTGCTATCGATGAGAACCTAACTCAAGATTCCCAGGTTTCAGCACTCAATCTTGATCTAGAACCGGAGGCGATTTTTCGAGCAGCTTTGGGCAATATTTGTGGACTTTTTGTCACTGTTGACGATTCCAGTGTATATTTGATTCACCCGACAGCTCGTTCATTTTTGTTGTCTAATGGAAAGACACAAACAAACACAATCGAGGGTCCTACTTTTAGATGGAAGGAGTCTGTATATCCAGCTGAGGCTCACCTGCTATTGAGCAATATCTGTATCAATTATCTTCTTTTCTATGGTCTTGAACGAGACATATCTGTCATTCGCGAGGAATGGTTGAAATTTGATGAAAGTTATTGGGAAGAGCCGACGCCGGAACGTTATTCTCCCATTCCGGAACATTCATTGGTTATCTATGCCTCCAACAACTGGTACAAGCATCTACTACACACGAATTTGGAACAGGGTTCGCCTGTCTATGAGAATGCTTGAATGCTGTGCGACACCAATTATGGGTTTTCAAAAATTTGGGTAATGGAGATTATCTATTACGAAACTCCAGAAAATCAAAATCTCTTTGAGTCATTAGAAATCGCCGCACGCTTAGGTCTTGAATTTGTAGCCCGGCGTGCTTTGCAAAGCCCAACCCTTTCTTACCGATATACAAGGGCATTATTCTACGCTATCAAAAGGAGAGATGAGAACATTCTTCAGACTATTCTAGAGGCAAGGAAAATAGATGGCCTTGATGGTTTTGTGAGGATGGCCGTGGAAGAAGGGAGAGGCAATGATATAGACGCGCTTAGAATAGTAAGGCTGTTGGTCGAGCATGGAGCTGGAAGCCAAGGCCTTCGACCAGCTCTTATTATTGCTGCAAACAGAGATCTATATCATGTTGTTCATTTCTTTGTCGATGATTGTGGGACAGATATCCGAAGTCCTCTTGATAATGGAAATTCAATTCTATGCTCACTCAACACACTTTTTGGATATAATGAGCAAATTCTATCTTATCTGTTTGAGCGAGGCGTGGACCTCAACGGCGTACCCGGAAATTCGGACACGCCGTTAGAGGTAGCGATTCTGAAACAAAGCTTGACAATTGTCAAATTTTTGCTGGAGCATAGGGCTGATGTCAATCTGTCAGGGTCATCCGACCGCGGCTCTCCACTCTATCGAGTACTTCAAACCCCATGGTATACTTCAAAAGTAGAGGAACACGATAATCCTGACCATATATTGGAACTGTTGAATTCAAAGTGGAGCAGAGATTGTCTGATACAGATGCTTTTGACAGCTGGTGCGGAAACCAATGGGTTACCAGAAGAGTTGTTAGAGCAACTGTTAGAGTGTAACAACCGTCAGAAATAGCACGAAAAACTTGGAATATGTATTGATACTAGACTTGATCTAAAGAAGGTAGCCGAGTCCAGAGTCCAAATAACTTTGAAAAGAGACACATGTTCTGGCTCTGTCACTACTGTGTAGTATACTTAATTCGCTACTAGATATATTACACGTGGTAGTATAAAGGGATCTTGGATGTCGGCCGAATGTTCAACAACCGAGGTGTGTGCGTGGAAGCTACTCTCATTTAGTTAGGACTGGAAGTCTTAGGATGCTATTGGAACTTGGACTTGCTTGTTTTTATTTGACTTTGAATAGGTACCGAAATTTAAATATCAAATTGACTGTTGAAGTATAGCTTCTACCCAGAAAATAGGGATAGTCTTGCTTCATTTGTGCCATCAAGGTGTGGTTTCTCTTTTGAGGCTGTTTTAAGCGAAGCTGATCAAGGGGGTTTTGGAAGGAATGGAACGGAGGTCTTATAACATCGGGCAATTCGATAATTTGAAGATTTGAAAATTATGTTGAAATCAAATTAAAGTTTAGTTGACCAACTACATCCATTATCACATTTCATCTTAGCACTCTGTGCTCCCCAGTCATATCATGTGACTCCTTCACTCCCACATGTGTCTAAAAGAAAAACGATTACTGGTATAGATCCGGATGAGCAGCCTTGATAAAATCAGCACCCCTTTCAGCAACCATGTAAACAGCATTCTGGATTCGGCAATCTGGAATGACGGGGAAGACGGATGCATCAGTGATACGAAGATTCTTAACACCAAACACCCGAAGTTCGTGATCAACGACACCTTGCTCGATGGATTTCCCGAGGCGGGCAGTTCTGCATGGATCTGGAGGGTGGGGTGTTAGTTTGATGAAAAGATTTAGTCGGAGGTGCAACTTACGGAATCCAGTCTGACTTCTCTCTAAAATCATCTTATTCATAGCCTCATCGCTATTTCTGGGCATGGGCCATGGATAATCCTCCCCTATGATATCTTTCATTCCGTCGCCGTTCATTAGGATATCATCCACATATCGACATCCTTCACGCAGGGCGACGAGGTCCAAATCATTGGAGAAGAAGTTGAGGTTGATAATTGGCTGCTCAAGTGGATTGGTAGAATTGAGTTTTACATAACCATTGCGCGAGAGAGGACGGAGTAGATCAACGATAACGGTAAGCCAGGATCCCGCAGGTGGTGTAGGGATATGCCATTGGAAGGCATCGCTAAACATGGGCACGAAATCAATCTCAAAGTGTGGTTAGCCGCCTGGTCCAAAGGAGTCGATATCATTGTTGGCTTTTTTTGGCAGCGACGTACTCTTTGCTTGTCGCGAGATATTCGTCGATGCGAGGCAGACCAACGAGTTCGAGAAGACCACTACTGTATGGACCACTCTTATTCTTTCGGTAGGCGCTAATAGCACCATCGTGTTGGGGACCGGCTCGTAGGAGATGATCTTCGAGTCCTAGGCCGTCTTTGAGTCTAAAAACGTGGGGCATGATGGGGTGGTCGAGAAGATTCTTCCCAACGTGTTGTGATTCGACCTTGACGTCGATCCCATGAGGAGCAAGTTCTTCGACGGAGCCAATTCCAGATAACATGAGCAGTTTGGGAGTTTCATACACGCCAGATGAGACGATGATATCCTTTTTGGCTCGGATGGTTAGTTCGTCGGCTTCAGCTGTAATTACTACGACTCCGGTAGCGGCTCCATCTTCGATGAGAATCTGTTTGGCGTGAGTGTGGCCGAGAATAGTGATGTTTGGTTTTCCTTTGAGGAAGAGGGCAGATGTAGAGCGTACACCTTTGTAAATAGTATTCATGCAACGAGCCAATCCGTGCATTTCTCCATTGTAGATCTCGTCATTAAGGATTCCTCCCTTGCTGACCCACGCACTGGACAATGCTTTACGGAATGGCTCGAGCTCAGGCACCATATCAGAAACAGCAACATCTAGTGGACCATTACGACCATGCTTCGCCAAATCTGGATTATACAGATGGCTATCATCGTGGTAGTTGGCTGGCTTGTCGAAATACTCCTTGCATTGATCCCAAGTCCAGCTTGAACCACCATATTCCTCCCAATCGTCAAAAGTAGCTTTGCTACCTCGGATCCAGGTGTAATAATTAAGAGCACTACTACCTCCCAAGACCTTTCCACGAGTGTTGGGCGTTTCTACTCGGGTGTAATCTTCGCGGTCGATCATGGTAGTTTTGTAAGCCCAGTCATATTGGCTTCCACGGAGCTCGAAAGCGCGTGCTGGAGTCTGGATCTCGGGGATGTCTTTGTTGTGTCCGGGACCGGCTTCGATGATCAGGACTTTCACGTTAGCGTTCTCAGCCAGACGGCCGGCAACTGTGTTGCCTCCAGTTCCACTGTTTGATATGTCAATGTTGTTCTTGGGCTATATGATGGAAGCATGCTTACCCTTCAACGACAATGAAGTCGAAGTGATTATCAATTGGTACGACCATTTTTAGTGTTCAAGTTTGCAATTAGCGATGGCATTGTGAAAGATAATTGAAAATTAGAGCTATGGGATCAAAGACGTGATTAAAGTGGTGAAAGTAGATGAAGTGAGAAGTTGAAGATGGAAAGTAGTCTTGCTTTATATCTCTATAAAGCATAGAACATTCACTGTGCGAAGTATGTGAAGCCTGTGACGTCTTCTACATTTTTGACCTCGCGGACCTCTCAATTGATCATGCCCGATGCTTGCCCGCTATCTTCCGAACCAGAATATGGGGGAGAATACACGCCTAATCTCTCTTTCCCTGCATGGTAGTATGGAAAGGATTGCTGCCAAAGTAGGCTGATTATTAAGCTCCGTGGCTCTCAGAACTTAAGCGAGCTCTTGGGTTGTAAAAATCTGGAAGGATATGTATGCTCAACCCCTCATTACGACATTAAGACATTTCGGGGTTACGAGGTATAATGACAGCATAGCCAGCGACAGCGAGAGGGGTGGCAAATATGGCAAATATTGGAGTATGCTCGTTGTTGTTTGCAAAGCAATCTATCTTTGACCCTCATGCCCCCCCTCGCCTCGAAAGATGAATTGAAACATGCATGAATTCAGACGTGATGTAGTGAAATGCTATAGTGAGACTGTGGGAGTAGTAAAGTCAAAGGGCTTGGATGCCTTAACCTTGCCCATTGCATGCGCATCTCCACTCGAAGAATCTTCTCTGTCGCCGAAACCCGAATGCCATTATCCTTCTGAAAAGATTGATGTCAAGAAGTTTGACGATGGATTCAGTGCACAAGATCCAGAACTTCGGCCCTGTTCGGTATGGACGAACAGACCGTATTTGCATGCAAGCCGCGGCCATTCAACGCAAAGACTGTTGAAAGGTAGAGGAAGGGCTGGCTGCAGGCTGAGTGGAGCCTTGGTTTTTGACATGGCAAGTTTTTCAGGAGACAAGCTCGAAATATTCGTGAGAATTGACAATTCGTACCCTTTTTAGCTTGGAGAGGCCAGGAAAACATTGGGACAAGATCAATTAGCATATTAATAAATGTGAGAAAGTAGCTTGAATGTTATTTTTCTGGGGTGGGTAAGAGCGACTCTCCCTACTCCCATTCCGCATCGGGACATGTTAAGCATCAGCCTTCCCTGACTTCTGGTCTTAAAATCACCACCTCTCAAGACTCCTCTTACTGATATCAAAAGGACAATTCAAGAATGTGCCTTTGCAATTGCTTACTATAACATTATACCATCACATTAACTCTTTATTATTCAAGTATAAGCTACAAATGGACACATCAGAGTGGAGTTCGAACATTGCGGTAAGGAACAAGGAGCCTGTAGTCACAGTGAGAGAGATTCTGCAAGATTCAGAGTGAGTGGAACAATCTTCTAGAATACCCCTTGTTGTCTAAAATTCTGAAATGTAACCACTAATCGTCTCAACCGCACAGTGTCGACGACCAAATCATAGAACCATGCTCCTCCCATAGTCCTCGTAAACGCAATCATTGCGAGGTAGAGAAAAACTCGATTATTAATCCATCGATCCGGTAACTCTCCAGACAAGATAAGGGCATTGAATTTCGTTTTGACATCGTTGACACTTTCAAGAAGAAACCCAAGTAACGAGAAAGGACAAGTATCGCCAGCAAAGCGTCAATGCAATGTTAGAGGCATGGAATCAAAATTTCTACAAGCAGAGCACAATGGCAAGAGTCGAGAAATTATTTTCATGGAAAGGCAGGTGAAATTGGAAAGTGGTCGCGGATCCAAGACTGATTATCATGTAGAGAGATTGCTGCATCGAAGAAGGGCAACGAGAGATTTACTGAAACGCCCAATATTAGGAAACAACTTGAGGGCTTAATAGTGACGTTGTCGTAAGTTTCGATCATTTTTTATAGCCCAAACAACATTTTGATTAATGCTAATATGGATATTAGAGGATCAGCAGCGCCATCTGCCGGTAATAGACCAGAGCCCTCTGGTACCAATGAGACCACATCCATCAAGGCAAAGATGTAAGCTAGATACTCACTAAAGGTTTTGATCAAGACTTCAAGCTCTAAGTAGCCCTGAACTTAGGATCCCCATCGACACACTTAGTCCCGCACTAGCACATCTTAGCTCTGCGCACCACGAAAACCCCAGATCAAGTTCTATTTCTAGTAGCTCCGAATCTCTTCATTATAAATACCACAACCTCAAGAGAAACTACGAAAATATTCCACACAACATTTCCGAAGCTCAACCCCCTAAGAAACGCAGCGACAAGTACGAAACTGAGCTTAACAACATTGAACCCAACCAAAATTGCGAGCATACCAGCAACACTTTTGAATATCTCTTTCCCACAATCAAAGATAGGATCGAGCAACAAAGGTCTCAATTCGATACTGTTACTGAAAGGATCAATGAAATTTTCAACCTGATACAACAAGGCGAACGACTACTACAGAACGCCATGACTACCGAAAACGCTTCTCAATCGGAGCTTCTGGTCGACAGAATCACTCATGTGCTCGCAGAAGATCTTAGGATTGATGATTCTACCTCTGCAATCCCCAATTTTTCACCAGAGAGAGGTTTCGTCGCCCAAGTTACAAACGTGCATGTTTCAACCGACCCTTCCCAGACTTTGAAAGAACTTTGGAAATTCGCCAGATCAAACATGGGCGTAATTTTGAGTGAAAAAGAAGAAGTGTTTATCGAAAGCATTAAATCTCTCAACGCTACACAAACAAGGCTCAAGGAGGAATGGAACATGCTCAACTCAAAAGAAGACAAGAACAATTTCAAATTCATGCTTGAGATGAATTCCTCTGAGCGAGCAAAAGTTTTGCAAAGGGCTTGGGATTTGAAGAAAGAAATTGCGAACTTCTACATGTGTGCTGAGACGAGAAAATAAGTAAATCGTGACATGCGACAGAATGATGTAAAACTGGAGGTATTGGGCTGCTTTTCGCGAACATATTTATACATATGAGCTTAAGCATGTTGATGTTGGAGTAGCAAGGTTGGCGCTTCTATTGCTGGAGCATTATTATCTTCGACGCTGCAGGGAATACACCTTTTTCTTGATCTCTTTCTGTTGTTTATTATCCAATGAGGGAAGGGTGTACAGTGGCCAGCTAGAAAAGATTAGTTGTCACATATCATGAATAGAAGATCAACAATTATCAAAAATCGTGCGATGATAGGAAATTTTGTGATGTGCACATTTACTTGGCATTTTACTTTCATACAGTGGTAAGAACACTGGCATTCTTATACCACGTCAAGAGAGGATTCTCTCCGTTCTTGGTCTCCGTCTGTTCCACATAAGCCCATCGGTTCAAAAATTCTTCATGTGATAACACTTGTGTGAACTTTCCCGTGATGGCTCTGTATACATTATCCATGACAGCGAAGTCAGTAGGAAACAATATATCAAAGTATCCTTGATGCACCTATATGCCATTAGCAACGATGAAAGGGACAAGGAATATTGATGCTCACAAAAGGCGTCGTAACAGGAACTGTTCTTCTTTTATATCTTGTCTGCACAACTGGTGCATTGACTCCCTTGATCGTGTCCGGCAGCGAATGAAAATCACTTGTTACTAATCTATGCGCCGGGAAATACTTGGCCAGAATATCGAAGAACTGCATAAGTCTCGTGGGTATATACTCTGGCTGACTGAGATTCGGAGCGAATGGCATATTGTTCCTCAAAGTTTTCACTAGTCTGTTCTGCGGAAGGGGGTGTGGATATTTCCCATTGGTAGCAGCGTGTCGTACGCGAAGGAATCTAGATGCTATAGGGTCGATGGTGGGAGTGTAGAATTCGTAAAAGTCGCCAGTGTTGGATATCAAGACGGTGCCTTGGAGAGGTTCTTCGGTAACAGGGTCATATCGAATAGAGTCGTGGGCAAAGTTGTCAAAAACCTCCATGGCGAGGAAGAAGCATGGTGAGGGAACTATCTGGTTCCATTCGAAAACTGATTTGTTGATAATCTCAACTTTAGACGAGTGTCCTCGAGAATTGGCATTCCGTAATAGGTGCGACTTTTGTAGCGATGCGAGATTGCTGGATATCTCAATGATCTTGAACTTTGTGCTGGCATATACCTCGGGTTCTGTGGCACGAATATAGTCGAGTATGTTGAGCATAAGAGTACCATTTCCGGCACCCATTTCGTAGATTATGAGATCGTGGTATGGGTACTGCGATATTTTGTAATTGTTGATCAAATATCGGGCTATAGCTTCACCATAGTAGGGTCTGAAGAGCTCTGTTGGTGTATGCCATAATTGGCGAGTCTCATTAGGAGACTTGAGGTCCAACTCGTCTTCAAACTCGGTGTATCGTTGTCCCAGGAGACGGTGAAAGGCTGGTTCATCTTCGAGGGAGTTGAAGTCGAAAGGCTCGCCAGGAGTAAAGATGACGACTTGCTTGGAGAAATAACCATAAGAAGGATTGTATAAACTATCTGTGGAACGTGTCAGATAATCACACGGTATGTTAACGGCTAGATTCTGAATACCTTCAATGAAATCTCGTGTGAGCATCTTCACACGCCTTGGCCTTTCTCTCCTCCCCCTTAATTGATCTGCTGTAACCATGGGATACTTATTGAATTCCTCCATCATATCTATCGGAAAGATATCTGTTCTCTGCTGCCAATGGCTTTCATTCTTGCTTGTCTCCTTCACTCCTCTGCCCCTCCTACTGGTGGTTGACAAACATCTCAACTGCGAACCATGCCCATTCCATACTCGGGGAGATAACGAAGAATGAGATCGTAAAACCTCACAGTTCTTGTGTTGGAATAACTGCCGAAACAGTCGTGCCACAATTGGGGAGTCCATCGGCAGAAGTGTTTATATTCTTCTGTGTGTTTCTTGGGGGACCTCTGTCGCAATGTTGAGTTCTAGTTGGTCCAAGCTTCTTCCGCAAAGTTTTGCAAGGATATTGAAAGAGTTGACCTGTGAAAAATCACATCATTAACAAAAATGATTTTATTCACGACTCATGGTTGAAATAATGATGATGAGAATACCAAGGATATAATGTCTCTGAGCAACCACCCCAAGGCATATGGTTCTGCAGCAGTTGCAGTCGCATTCGTCGCAGGGGTTCTGTTGACATTGGGTTTTAAGGATTTTTATCCTGATTTGGAACGAAGATATCAAAGGCGGCGAAAGGGAACTGGGACTGGGACTGGAATCATTGCATCTGATTCATCTTCATCTGATCTAAGACCAGTTGGCTCTAACCTACCCCCACTAAGGCTAGAAGACCGTACTCGGAAATCAGTTGTCGGATTGCCGAAACCTATAATCCCAGAAGGAATAGAGGGATGTATTGGAAATACACCATTATTCAAGATCAAGAGTCTTTCCGATGCAACAGGATGCACTATTCTTGCAAAAGCGGAGTTCTTGAATGGCGGAGGAGGAAGTCCCAAAGATAGAGTAGCCTTGAATATGATTATGATGGCAGAAGAGGAAGGATTCCTGAAACCTGGCCGAGGTGACACTATTTATGAGGGCACAGTTGGATCAACTGGTATTTCACTTGCAACTTTAGCGCGTGCCAGAGGTTATAAAGCATATATATGTATGCCTAATGACCAGAGCACAGAGAAGTCGGATCTTCTGCATCATCTGGGAGCCACAGTTGAAAGAGTAACCCCAGCACCTATAACTTCTACTCAACACTTCGTCAACCTGGCAAGACGAAGAGCGAAGGAACATACGGCCTCTAAAACAGATTCTAGTAGAGGATTCTTTGCTGATCAGTTCGAGTCTCGTGCAAATTACCGGGCACATTTTCAATCTACAGGACCTGAGATTTATGCCCAGACGGGAGGTGATGTAAGCAACCAGACCTCCAGAATCTCACACACAATTTAGCTAACATTTTTTAGATTGATGCATTTGTGGCCGGTGCTGGGACAGGAGGAACCATCTCAGGTGTAGCACTCTACTTAAAACAAGAGCAACTTATGGGACAAGATCTCAAAGTAGTGCTTGCAGATCCAGAGGGAAGTGGTCTCTACAACAAAGTTAAATATGGCGTCATGTTCTCTGCAACCGAGAAAGAAGGCACAAGACGTCGACAGCAGGTTGATACTATTGTCGAAGGAATTGGAATCAATCGGTTAACAGAGAACTTCGAAGCGGGGCGAGAAATCATCGATGATGCCGTGAAGGTGACAGACTTGCAAGCACTCAAAATGGCGAGGTGGTTGGTAGAGAAAGATGGTATTTTTGTTGGGAGTAGCAGTGCTGTCAATTGCGTGGCAGCTGTAGCAACAGCGTTGAAGTTAGAGAAGGGGAGTACGGTGGTCACTATCCTTTGTGATAGCGGAACAAGGCATTTGAGTAAATTCTGGAAGAAGGTGGGGGAATTGGGCTTGGAGGAGGGGGAACATGATGACGAAGATTTGCTGGCTCACTTACGTCTTCTACCCACTAGGGAATGAATCTGTTAATGAGCTCATCAAGCCATCGCTCTTAGCGAGGAATTGTATCACAGCTGGGTTTCACGAGCTAAAAGGACATTTGTACATACTCAATTGAGGTCACGCAATCAGCCTACTTCCAATTCCATGATATAACTTTGGAACATATGATAGGCCTTTGTTGCCCAGCTTGGTTTCAAGAAACCTACTCAGTCTTTGCTACTCGCGTATAGTAAATAAGGGAACGAACGGACATAAGCCTTGGAGTGGTCACATTTGATGCAATTGCGAAGATATTTACGTCCACACGATACATCGATTGATGCTTTTGGGAACCAGCCGTATTCGCTCTAAGTCAAACTTCGATGTACATACCACACTACTCCTGCCATCCTCCCAAGAATTAGATTGATAGAAGCAAAACGGAAATACAGTGGAAAGAGCGTTCAATATGCGACCATATCAACCCATCGTTCTGCGAATTATCTCCGTTCCACCAGATCTTGAGTTCTACTCTAAACTCATATACTTAGCCACAATATTCACTTGTAAAATGCGTAAATTCAAGAAGTCGCGCTAGCTTACCGCAAGTGCTCTCCATCACTCTTCTGCGGATAATACGGCAATTGCTATTTTGCCAAGGCTATTGCATTCGTTGAGACGGTACCCGCCACCATAAACGAAGCCGGATTCAATAGCATCTCCAGGATGTTCACAACTCTCATCTTCAAAGAAGTATCCCTTTTGATCGACTTCTCCTTCTTCGATTAACTTGAATGATGAGAAGCCAAAAAAGTCCAAGCTGCAAGAATGGTCAGAGATATCTACTCTTTCCAAATAATCACTGCTGCAATCGTTGCTCGAGTACGTATCTATAACGAAGGCAACACTTGGGGCTGTCAAATTGGCAGTGATAGTCACTATAATGTTTGGTTAGCATTTGGCCATAGTAAACTTCCATGTATGACATGCAAATGAATGCTCCGTTGGAGAAGATAATGAAATACAGGAGCTAATTTGTGCAAAAAGCAAGAGTTCATGGTACTTACAGGTGGACGAGAGTGTGAATTGCATTTTGTTGGGATTTGTGAATTTGAGAACTTTGGTAAAAATTTGAGGAAAGTGAAAATTATACTGAAATTGCTGCTGGCGTAAATGTTGTTTTGAAAGCTGGATTCAAGAGGGTTTATGTACACGGATGACCCAAGGGTTGAAGCTGTCGTTGCTGTGCTGTCGCCACATCTCTGAGACTGACTCCATTGGTATATCGATTCTATGCAATCGCGGCAAGTCACACATTAACCGTATTCAATTCTTGGTCGATCTTTCTTGAATTTGACAAATCTTTTGACATGCATTACAGGTAATTTTGGTGAATATCGTCTTTGAGACAGCCCTGATCCGGGTATCACAGCCACCTTTCAAGCACGCATGTACCAGGTGCCCACGAAGGCTGGCACGAAGTCAAACATATTATTCTCCATGATATGACATGATTTGCCCTAATAAATAGATGCCGAGGCCAAATCGAAGCATCCTTTACCTCCTTGAAACGGTTTGAGGAAAGCAAAAAAAATGCCAACTGTCCCGCTTTCTTCGCCTATTACTTCTTTCGCGCCCATCATACTGCGCGGTTATATCCTGTGATCGCGAAAAAATATTTGACTACCACATCTACGTTCTTCAAGGAAACACAAAGTACTCATGTACTCTGTCGAGACATGAATCACGCCATGCTATAGGCAATGTTCTGTTCTAAAGAGCCATCTAAAACGACAATAATTCTGTTTGCAAAAATGAAGTACTCATTCACAAGGTATCAGCGGTGGCATACTCAATTGAGCAAGCCCGCAGAGGTTCAATTCAGCTGATGTCGTCTGTATTGCTTTTACTGCAGAGCTCTGACGTGGTGGCACTATTTTAACCGCGCAACGATGTCTCGCAGATCAGATGAATATTATTGGCTGAAGTTGTTGGCAGATTACCCGCGGACGATCCTGTTGCGACGATGCGGTATGGCCTTGCGGAGATCACTTAATAGAGCTCTTAAATTCTTAGACCAACACAGGGTTCTTGTACAACTTGAGTTTTCCTGTACTTGATCTAAGTATGCAATATAATGTGCCAATCTCGCAATAAAGTATTGCATCGGCTAAAACAACCTTGCCACTAATCCATAAATATCAAAAATTGTACTGCATAGGTATGAACATGGTTTTGACGCCGTCTGGCAGTACAGTAAAGTTCATGCAATATTGTCGATACCTTTTTGGGGAAGATGGATTCGTTTAAGGCTTCAAATAAACAACACTAAACTATGTAAGGAACCGTTCAATGCATAGGGAATCTCATACTAATGTATCTATTATCAAGCCAATACACAGTGTATACACGATATGCCTGTTCCATATAACACCAGCAAGAACATTTATCAGAACTATGATGGGAAGAGTGTAGCTTGAATCAAATGATCTACATATTACTTGCTTGGCTGATATAACTAAGAAGATAACCAACGAGACCCGGGAAGCATATTTCAATCTGTAAGTCTTATGAAGAAAATCTTAACAATTGCTGGATATTTTATCTAAAGGTTCCGCAGTAATACGGGGCTCGCTTGACAAGGGCTGCAACCTCGTTTAGACGGCAACTAGTACCATTTTTGTTTTGTAGTAGGTTTATTACGTTCTTCGCAGCCCAGGAGCCGAACCACCTTCCCAGATGGCCTCGATAACTGAGAATCTCGAATTTGGAACTGCCGCGATTCCTTGGAGTTTAAATCTCGAATCAGCCTTCTCAAACAACTGAGCCCATTCATCCGCATCTCGTTCTCTCCCATTGAGACATGATTCCATTGTAAAGTCGGATCCTCTATTAATACTATTAGTGACTGGTGTGCTAATTCCCAGGAAAAGACAAACCTCATTCGCCTTTCCTCCCAACTACGCAATGTAGAGAATTAGTATTCATTTGAGCAGGGAAAAGATATCACGCACAGCACTTGATGAATAAGTCGAAGAAAGGAACAGAATTTCTTTGATCGGAGATTCGCAAAATTCGGTGTGTTGGACAAGGTTAATGGGGTGACATACCTCAACCACCAACCCCTTGCTCATGATCTCCCAATTATAGTGTTTAATCAGCCCGGCTCTTTCCTATTTGCCACCAGCCTGGAAGAAGGTCATAACATCTGCAAATCGCTTTTCACGATGGGTACTTTTCTTCATGCCTTCAAAATAAGTATCAAATTGGTTTGTGGCCAGGTTGTATCCTGTTTCATTTGGCTCCTGGGAGTCCGGCCATCTTTCAATAGCATCCACCATCCGTGTGAAGGCAGGCCAAATTTCATCTGTTACAAGTCCCAACCAAGATTCTACAAGGGGTATTGTAGCAATAGCTTTGGATATTGATGTTTGTGCTGCAATCCCATCCCGTGGCTCTCGGAAAATTCGATGAGTCTTGGCTATGCGGATGATACGCCGAATATCCGCTTCAGGTATCCCGACCGTGTCAGCAATCTCAGAGAAAGATGCTTCTCCGTCGAGTGGAAAGCTTGATGCTAACTTCCATCGATATATTGCGTGAAGTATTGACAAAATCGTCATCTTGGTTGATTAGTAAGTGTTGATCTTTGAATTGAGAATTTACCAACGTTCATGGAGGTGAGGACGCCAACAGGACCCCCTATAAGACTGTTCAATTCTTCTGTTGCCTCAAAGATAATGTTCTTGGAGGCTGAAATTTCTTTGGGAATCTGAGGCGTCTCGCTATAGTTCACATCGAAGGATGGCGAGGCGATTCCATGAGACCGGAGGTACTCGTCAACAATTATTGTTTGAGTCGAAATTATCGAGGCTAGTTCCACAACCCTAGTTTGGGCCATCTTGTCTAATGTTTCTTCGTTTTTTAGAAGTAGAAGCCAGAGGTCATTTCTTAGAATTCAGCGCTGAAGACAAACTTCATGGAAAAAAACGGGAACTGCATAGAAGGGTAGGCATTTCACCTACTCTCCTGACCCCCGCCTTCGCCCCTCTCTCGCATTAAAGGATAAGGGATGGCTTTAGTGTAGTAGAGAACATAGAGCATATACTGTAAGTCTGTTGAATCCGAGCAACAAACATGAAGCAAACATAGGATAATGGGATATCATACGTATCCATGCAAGGTTATGTTTCTGGTATAACTAAAATGACTTTTGAGATATCTTCTGATTGATCCAGCTGACATGATATGCGGCAAAGCTCTCTATGTATGTAATCATGGAGCCACAAAGTTATCATATGTATACCTGCAACCTTGTAAAGAAATTGATTAATCTTGGTAAAGGTGCATTGAGTTAGGCCTTTATGGTTAAATTTCTACTCATCGACTCGAGGGTTGCCGATAGTTCTAGCATGAAAAGATGAACCTATTCAAGCAATTTCGTTTTACAAAGTCAATTTATTTACTTCCCTCTATTAGTCAACTTAAAGAGGAGAAGTGATCGGTAAATGCTAGGTATAATAGATATTCCAAAAAGGGGATATGTCCAACATTTTGTCGATACGTCGACACCGATAATACACAATGCAGATATGTAGTATTCACATTTGATCTTGCGCACTGAAGCGAAGCTTGTTTGACTCGTACCTTATTTCCATATTCGCTTCCCTACAGTTCATGACCCGTAAGCTTTTTGAAAAGAATGCCTTGCAATTAGGAAGGGATCAAAAAATATACAGGTATTCGTTTGTCTGTCGGTGTGAAAATTTAAAGCGGTAAATATCGGTCGCGCAGTTCTTTTGGGGAAGTTCCTCTATTCGATCCTGTTGGTCACACAATGGAACGGCGCAGTCACTCGAGCACGCAGAACCCCTAAAATATGTACCGCGCCTCACTAAGACTTGTAGATTTGTTTTTCAAAGCCTCTTGAATGGGATGATCTTCATTACGCGAAGTTGCGCCTCACAACTGCTGCAAACAACCGATCTTCTCAAATTCTTTTCAATTAGAAAAAACCCCTCATCTCCAACGAGAGATAAACTTCTATTGTGTAAAATGTTATCTTTAGTTGTTGAAAATGTTTGTGTAGCACAGCTACCTGCTCCGTGATTCAATCAGGACAGCTGAGCTGACCCAATCACCACAAACCTCCTCATCAGGGTAGTAGTTTGTAGGTGAACCAGCTTCTTTATTGGGGACATTTTTCCTTTGCCCCAATACTCATATGATCCAAATTTACTTAGAGGTCCGTTTTTCGACACCACTCCTTTGCACAATGCTGGATCTCGCCAACGCGAAAATACAATTTCAACTAGCCTGGGTTCGTGGAAATTTTGGCTGTTCTTGAACAGGCCGTCGACGTGTTCATTCTATATCTGGAAGACAGAGGCTCGAATAAAGCATGCGTCGCAGAAGGTGTAGCAGATGTTGAGCTGAGGAGATTGAATACAGAGAGATGGTGTCTTGGAACATTCTTTGCTATGTGCCTACTAGCTTTCTGAGTTGCAAAGCTTGTTTTACAGCGCACTCTATCTTATGTCTCTCTTCTGATACCATTGATGTCCATGTGAAACCGGCAGGCCCATCACTTTTGAGAGTATCCAGTTGCAGGCATTATTGCATTCTAGCATAACAGATGCTGATAATTATTCTTGTGCGCCTTTACTAACCCCCTGTCACACCACTTCAATGATGCCTAAATTGCTACCTTCTGGAATCCAAGCTTTTGGCTTTCCAAGACGAGGATTGGCGCTTGGAACAAAGTAGCCCAATCATCGGCATCGCGCTCGCGAGAGTTGAAGAGAGAAAGCATGATCGTATCCATATCCCTGTACTGCCGTAAGATCTACCATGAAGACTTTGCAATTACAAACGGAACAGGTAGAGAAACCGAGTTATAAACATACCTCGCAGCTTGCTCTCTAAGCAAGGGTATTGCGCCGGGCTCTGGAAGTAGATGGTCGTAGCAAATGACTCGAGCACCAGGTTTCAACTGTGGAATTAATTCTCGGAGTATCTTGATGCAATAAGCCTCCTGCCAATCATGAAAGATTTGGCTAAATAAATATACGTCGGCTTGAATGATTCGATCAGAGAAAAAATCGTGCGCGATGATTCCGATCCTGTCTTTCATGTTATCAGGTAGAGTTTTTTCGATTCCCTCAACAACTTCCGGCAATTCTTGAAGAACAACTTTTAGTTTAGAATGCATTTGTGCCAGTTCGATAGAAATGTGACCTTGTGCTCCTCCAACGTCGAAAACTTCAGTAACAGTATCGCAGGGATAGCTCTTGACCTAAAAAATGCTTTGGATGATACTGATACAGCGCTGCTAAAACATATCATAGCTTCGACCATATGACGGGACATTCCTGAACGGCTTGAGTGATATTCGAACAGACATTGGTCAGTGTTGTGGTAATGACTCCAGCCCTGGAGTAGTTAGCCTGAATGGACCATCCTTATGGATGAGAGAATTTACTGTCTTGGCAACATCTTCAGTCTCTCCATGATCTCTGATACTATCGAGCGTCTAATAGTTGTTAGTGTCTTTCGCGGAACTACAATTCTGTTCTTAGAGTCTTGTGAAAGCCCTGCCAATGGTCGATATCAAGCTTTCGGTTGAAGCTGCACAGACGGGAGTATCTGATGGCTCACAGATTGCTGTGATCGGCTCATCAACAGCTTGACGGCAGGTCGGATATCCTGGGAGCAGGAATGGATGTAATGTAAATTCATTGAGATTTTAAATTAAACGAAACATCATGGCGCCCCCCGAAATTGGTCAATAAATTGATTCGCCAGAGTTCTCCTTCTTCCAACTTCTCCGCCCGACTGACCATCCGATCCGGTAGCAGCCGCTGTATTTTCTCCCTCCAATCTCCTCCTCATTCCTTCAAACCCTTCGCTTCTCTTCTTGACCTGAACGCCCACCATCCAGCCTGGTAATCTCCATCGCGTGAGAGCTGTTGGTAGCACATCGTTTCGCCAGCAATAACCAATAATCCAGCCGACCATTGCAGATATCAGTGAGCCTGGAAATTGGGAAAGACCAAGTTGAATAGCGGGGAGATATATGTATGATTTATCCGAGAATGTAACTCCTACAAAGTTCTCCTCGGTCATAGGTGCAGAAGTAGCTGCAACTTTGTATTTGTATTGATGTGGAATAACGGCATGGTATTGGGCTAGGATAGCGAATATAAGAGCAGTTGGTCCTGCGGGTAGGTAATTTATCGTGTAGAGGGAAAGGGGTCGTAGAAGGATGAGCAAGATTGGCGATATTATCGAGGTGAAGCAGAACGATAATATCAGGAAAGACTATGATTCTATTTTCAGCAGATATTCACGGTAGATAAAAGAATGAAACTCACAGCAAATCTACGAGATCCCCATAATCTTTCCACCACTCTCATATTATAGTATGTTAACGCGCCAAAGAATACTTCTGTCGAATTAGTATAGCATAGTTGATAACTAAGCATCCGCCATAACTGATGATATCGTAGCAGATGAGGATCTGCTTGTATGTAGAAAAAATGCTTTGAATCTGTGATACTAGCGAGGAGTGAGGTTGCGACAACCCCATAGACGAGGCTTCGCGTTACTGGCACATCTGTGAAACCGGTAGAGAGCATAACGACGTTCAGATCGGAATTTCGAAGCTCCAGATAGTGTTCCACTTATATTGCTGATTGTGTCGCAATTCGGTCGTTGAAGATCGAATTCGAACAATGCACTGAACATTGAAGTGAAAGCAAATGCCAGATTGGCCTTTTCAGCCTTATGATGACGAAAGAATTAAAGTGGAGTGGCCTTATTTGCATTATCCACTTAATTATGTACAAGGGTAATTAACTTGTGGCATGTGCAATCACTAATGACACCCCTTCGCTTCCTTTGACTGCCCCCAAAGTGCCCACCTGTGATGTCCATTTCCATGTTCGAAATTTCTTACAGTTGGGCCGTAAAGTATCATTGGAAATGTATTCAGTGATTGATTCCTAGTCCAACACGTACCCTATCTTTGACCTAGATAAGTTGTGTCGATTACACAACGTCCTCACATTGAAACAAGTTCGAATCGGTCATATTAGGTGGACTTCTTGATATTTGACATTAGAGAGCCTGACTATATAACTCCAGGTAGGAGACAGCCAACTCGTATCCCACAGTTCTCTAGATTCTCAAAAAAGCTCTGCATATGATATAATCTAGTGATGGAGCTGTTGCTATTTCAGATGGCACATGTATCATCAAACACTAGATGAATTGTTCCTTAACATCATTCTCACAAGCTCGCCGTTTACAAACGTATCTATATCGAGTAAATACACATTACTTGGCAAAAATAGAAGACAGCATTCTTCAACGCAAGAAATAGTTTTATTCTATATAAGTCTGCGCATTACATATGACAAGGTCTAAATGAGCAGTCTCTGGACTCTTTTATCACTTATCACGGTGATATCAATACCATGATCTCTTGTGACTCAATAAATTGCATCGATATAACTCAAGTGATGGAATGATCTTTTGATGCGTAGCAGATATCTTTCACTCCTCGTCAAACAAAGAGTGGATCAAAACGAAAACCTCTTCCAATCCATTCTCGATTGTTACTCACTTGCTAAAATGCCCTCGGTTTCATCCTCAGTTAGATCTTCAGAATGGTTTCCTGAAGATCTGAAGTACACTGAACTTCTTGCGCATCGGTCACCGAAATTCTCCTAGTTTTTTGAGGCTGGCGCTCTCCTCAGGCGGTTTACTTTAACAAGCGGAGGGATTGTGAATGAAAGTCTTCCCGGGAGCTTGGAATCCTTCCCAATGGCGGCTTCAGAGTTTTAGGTGAGCTTCTGTCATTTGTTTGACTCTCTCTCTCTGATGAAGACGATGTTGATGAAGTTGTTAGCAGTCCAGTTGCTGATTTTGGAGCTTGTTTGCCGCCAGATACCTCGGGACGTGTATCGACGCAAACAATTCTTTTTGGCACAGAAAGTTTAACTTCAGAAGTCTTGCCGTCCAGATTCTGTGGTCGCGCAGTAAGACGATTTTCGAGTTCTGAATTTGGCGATGTAGTTGAATCACTGGCTTCAACTTGAGTACTTTTCGGTGTTTCTCCCGTCGCTGGTGATTTGTGCTTCAAATAATGGGTCACTCTCTTCCATTTGGGTTTCTCTCCTGGAAATTCATCCGACTCGTCGGCAACTACGAAAATATTTGTATCTTCACCCAGTTGATCGAGCAAGAGATACTGACAAAGTGTCTCCCAGGTCCATCGCTCTGCCATCCAATATCTCTCCGCATCTGGAATATTTTTGAGCATACTTAGATCGACCCGATCATGACTTTCAGTTAAAATATCATGTACTTGTTGTTTAACATAGCCGTAGTAGATTGCTTTGGAGAGCATCAAGTCGTAAACACTTTTGTAAACTTCCATTGTGATAGACCAATAGTCGATCTATGAGTTTGTGATTCAAAGGTTTGAATTGTTTGATATGAAAATCTGAATGGTTTTGTAGTGGGCAGAATTACATTTCAACCTCGAGTGATCAATTCACTTTTAAAAATAAGAGAGTTGATTTTAAATGTTCAGACTGGATACATGGAAGCTGGGAGGAGAGTCGTTCTGATCACAGATCTCGCTTCCTCTCATCATTCGCTTCTACCAAAGAAAAAAGAAAAAAAGAGGCAACAAGCAGAATCATAATCATGTGTTCACTAGAGGAGTACCTGTGATATGGGACTCTAATCGATCAGTTGCGGTCAACGATTCCTGGAAATCACTATAATGATGAATGAAGTACTCCATCAAGTAAAAATGATTAGAATGTAGTGGTCAAAAGATTGAACCAAGACGCAGGATTTCTCTATGAAATGATTTCAAGAAAAAAGAACACATCGATTACATGCAAGCACATGTATAGCAGATATCAGAGCAATGATATAGCGAATAAATGCCTGCTATTTCCTTAATGGGATGCTGTAACTACCTAGTAGTCTAATACCACTTTTTGAGCAGCCGACACGATACCCTGACTCTATTTTATACATACTTGAACACCGATTAGACCACGCTACAGAGTTATGACAACATCTGAATTCATGCAAAAATGTCACCTATCTCACAATTTCCACCTACAACCAAACAAGTCAAGCCTTCGATTCGTGACTTCCAACAAACCCGGTGCATCATCTTACAACCAAAATGAAACAATACTTCATCCCTTAAATGAATGCCCATTCGCATCCTATCTGCCAAATCCCCAAATCCCCAATTAACCTACTGACCAAAGAAGTCCCTCGCACGGGAAGTTCCAAAAAGTCCACCCAAAAGCACCCCCATACCCGCAATGCCCAAATAATGCCATAAACCCATCCTAGTTTTCAGAAACTCCACCCTCGATATGAGCGAAGCATTATTCGGCGCAGGGACAGAAGCTGGCATACCACGTTTCTTTTCCGACTTCAATCCAGAGACAGAAGCTGGCACATCATCTTTCTTTTCCGGCTTCAATTCCGATGCAGAAGCCGGCACATCACTCTCCTCTCTCGATTTCGGTCCCGAGGAACGACGTCCCTTCTTGGCTAACCATATCGGTTCTGGATACGGTTCTTTTCCAACTACATCATCATTTGAGCCTCTAACCTCACATCTCCATTACTTCAGACACTTACACAAATCTTCCCAAGTCCAGAGACTTACTGCCTCGGCTTCTTGTTCTAACGAAGCTCCTTGAAGACGGTTTCCTTCTTCAATGTAAACGAAAAATGTGTTCCGGATATACCTTTCGGAATAGTTGAATGGGGGGCGCGTGCCTTTGTCGCAAAGCACTTTGAGGAAGATTTGTACGTCCATTGAGAAGAGTGTTAGGATATCAATTGATACAGTTATTGATGAGTAAGTTTATGGATTGGAATATATTGAAGAGGGGTTTATGTTCGATGTTGTTGTCATAATGAGAAGATAAAGTTGTGAAAGTATATGATAGTATGAACAGCTCTGGGCTACACCTGCTGGCTGAATTGAGGGCCGTCCCTTCCCAATTGTGAGAAGCAATTTCGAGTATCTTGACCTTGAAGGTAGAATTAGAGTAGACATATATCATATTATGCAGGAATTTTTTACTATAACACAACTCGCCTCGTTGTGAATTCTCAATTGCCCACCAAGAGAGTCAATTCTACAATGTGAACTAACAATAATTACTCCTGGTAAAGGGATAGTACCAACCGAAGCGAGGTCAGCAACACCAAGCAAGGCAATGCACACCCCTTTCGAACCTCACCTCACGGCAACCTCCTGGCCTCACCAAATACGGACGAGTCCAGGAAATTACCTTAAAAAATTTATTAGTACCATGCATCAAAGAAAGCAAGTGGAAGCAAATGAATAAATGAATAAATGAATATTAAAAACTATTTGTAGATAGAAGTAAGTAAGTAAATGAATGAGTTCGAAAAAAGCTAGATCCCAAGAAAAGAGTTTCCACATTCCAACAAATCGACTCAAACCCATGCCCGCCTAAAAAAAATGCAAGTTCCAAATAAACATATTTGTTACAAAAAAATGGGACAGCACGATGCTGAGTCATTTTAGAATTAGGATTTTACCGATACGCTCTCTTCCAGATGTTCGAAACCGTATCCATTAGAATGTCCGATGTTGACTCCAACCTCAACGCCATTAATTTCGTCGTTACGCGGCCATTCCGCTTGCTCCAATTGCTCCAATTGCTCGTGCTGATAGTGCCTATGATGTAAATGATGATCCGTATACGTATCGTGACCGTGATGTTCGAAGTGTTCCTCTCTCGCAATGGTATCTTCACGCTCACTGACATCCTCTGCGGTGATTTCCTCTTCCATCTGCACCTCTACACCGGAAGCATCAACTCCAATATCTGCACCAACATCCGCACTCACATCCACAGCTTCAACACCGTTCCCGTAGTCCACTGCATTTCTCCTAGCTTGTGCCTGTGCTTCTTCTTCTGCAGTGGCCTGCTCAATCCATGGTAACAATTTTGACTCAATGTTACTTTCAACATATCCATTTCCGTTTTGTTTGCTCGGACTACTACTCATCACCACATCCGACCAAGGCATCTCGTTCGCATGTTTACCCGTCATGTTGTCCCTCCCGTCAACATTTACACCATTGACATCAATATCATCTCCATTCCATGTGCTCTGTGTTTGTTTCTCCTCTTGTGTATCATTGTTCCAAGCGTGTTTAATGGCAGGTTGAATATGTATACTTGTATCTGGCCAAGCCAACCCCTTATTTTCCTCACTTTGTTCCCAAGGGGTACTAGCCGGCACAGAATAGCTTGCCCATGCTGGATCCGCATCGAAGGATTCATTAGCGTTGACTGTATTAACAGGTATATGACCATAATAATGGCCGCTCACGTCTCCATAAGCTCCCATATTAACCCCTGCGGAATTGTTTAGAAAATTATCGATTTGATTCGTAGGATCGGCTTCGTTTACCAGTGTTGATTCACTGTCGACAGTCGCATGAGACACGAAACTAATATTCTCGTTAGACATGTCGTAATGCTGAGCAGGATATGTATAGCCCGTTGTATCGAAGGGAGATTGAAGACTAGCTGTATGCGGGGGGGTAGCAAGGCCTTGAACAAAGGAGTCAAGAAGATTAGGTTGCTGAAGATGAAGAGGTGATTCGGGCCAGGAATTATAGTGTTCGAGGTTGGGAAGATTCTGGTGAGGGTGTGGCGGTGGTGACATGCACATGTGGCGTGGTGGAGCGGGGTCGACATATCGCCAGGTGGTGTCATTTCCCTCTCCAATGCGAGCTTTATGAAATGTCCAGATAAGAATGGCTCGCCGGATAAATGGCATTCGTTCCCCGGCTGAGGACTGTAGTTCTTGATACATTGAAATTTGATCAACGTATTCCCGAATAGAGTTTGAAGGGCGACTTAATCCATTCCCACCATATGATTGTGGAAGACGTTTCTTTTCAATCTCAAAATGGAGGTTCATGAGCTGCGTGAATGTGTATGCCCAAGTCTCAGCAGGTATGGCGACTTTGATTCGGGTCTCGTTGTCAGACATTCCAAGGACAGTCATTGGCAATGCCGTGCTTTCTAGCACAGGATCTCTTACAGGGTCACCGTAAAGATCCGCGGGTTTAATCAAACTCGTCACAGACTGCCAATTAGATCCAGCAAAATCATTGCCAGGTATGGACACCTCCATGCGAGTCAACAACTCACTATTATCCGGAGCGTGAGTTTTCATGAGATCCAACGACACATCCATATGAATGATATCACAGTTCAGATCATCTGTAGAATGCAATTGTGCTAAGTGAGGGAACTTTTGTCGCCAGTGAAGGATTGATTCAAGACTTCCGCGGGGCTTCGATGACGATAAACCCGAGTATCTATGGAGTACTAGACCATCTCTTCGAAGATCTTGTTCGGTTTTCATGACCCCGTTTCGTTCATTTGGTACAGCAAATGGTGTCATGAGCAACCAAAATGCAGCAGGCTTCATTGGATGATGATTGCTGAGTATTATTTGATTAAGTGCGTCATATTGATCGTGGCGCCTACTAGGTAGCCGACCTTGCGATAGTGCTATAAGTGTAGGGTCCTTTTTAAATGAATCCTCGAAACCATTCTTAGGACCCTTATTCGGAGGAAAGAGACGTTGATCTAAGAAGCGTTAGATTGTGTTTCAGATATTCCGCTGTACACTTCTTACATAGTGCAGGATGAGGAGTCAGGAAGCCTTTCAAAACCTGAATGTGACTAGAGACCTGCTTCCTTGTACGCATCATAGTTGGATCTGGACGCTGCCCCGGAAGAAGTGTATTCTTGTATGCTATCCAAAGATATTCCTTGATGAGCTCATTCCGACCATGAGGCTTGCCCCTGAAAGAAAATTTCCGTCTTCCCATATAAGGGATGGCAAGAAGAGCTTAGAACTTGTCAGTTGTTATTTCACATTGATGATAACTCTACTAACCATCAAGAAATGCATCCTCAAGAACAACCGGCCACTTCGAATCACCTTGGGTGCTTCCATCCCGATTTGCTCGAGCTCGGTATGCTTGATACTGAGGCGAATCAACTATAGGGTTGCGGTTACTATGTCTACTGAAACGCTGTTGCCGGTTGTGCCGCTTTCGAAGTTCCAAGGTATTGCCGGCGGGCAGGCGCAGAGGCTGCGATGGCAGAGTAGGCATAGAATACATTGACCTTTCTTGGCCTCTCATGTGATGCCTCTTGTTATCATGATATGAGCTCCCCGACGCCAGGTCGTGAAGCTGAGCGTTACCTGCAGAATCCGAAAGAGGCTCTTTGAGCCTTGACAGCCCACTGGAATCGTCCAGTTGAAGCTGTTGCGATGTGTATCCTGATGGCAAAATATTACGAGGATCTTCCATCGACTAGATGGTGTGATTTAGGTTCGAGAATGCTTCGACGGGTTCAAAATTCCAGTCAGTGGAGCGTTTGCACCCAAAGTCGAGGTAGGCTGTGTAGGAAAAATGCGTATTTGCTCGACGAAGAATCAAGATTACAGTAAAAAATGTTTGGAGGAATGGCAGCGGAAAGCTTAGAATGAAGTTGCACAAGGGAATGTCAACAGATTAAGAATGAAGTAGAAGATGTCCTGATGGCTTATTAAGGAAGCGAAGTAGATTGAATGTATATGGCCAGGATGCAGGGCTGTTTCGATGGGGATCAGCCAGATCTACCTTCATTGATAGCTCAGGTAAACGTTTGCAAACGCCACAAAGCTTACAGAGCTCAAAGACCAAAATAGCCCCACCTCTGATCTCACAGACGTAAGGAAATCAGGTTGCGGGGAAAGTCACAACAACGTGAGGAATGCTTCATTTGCTCGAGCATGCAATTTCCTCAGCACCAATATTTCTAGAGCCTACGAGTATGATTGTGATGAACACTCCAAGCACAATAGCAACGGGAAGGTGGATAATCATTACATACAATGATGATAATTCTTGTTTTTGTATGGCGCCCATCGGGGGCGGAGAGAACTTGATGAGATGACGAAATCATTTCAAAAGTACCTTCAAACTTACTGCGAAAAATAATCCCTATAGTGCTGAATATCGGACCACCAATAATTAGATTTAAGTAAATAGTCTCCCTTCCATTCAATTGTGAAAGGGTTTCAATCGAGGGTTATCTGCAGGGGTGCCATTGAATTGTTCGTATATAGCTTCGGCAAGGGAGATAGACGCTTGCCATTTTTTGCGAACAATATATCCAGGGAATTTGATCTTAGTAGAATATTCGAATTATTGATAAATACCTACAATAAGTTTCCTCAATCCAGATCCGCATCGTTGCCTTCAATATTGAATTTTTTGCGACCTCCCCCGGTAAGATTTTGTAAGGCAACTTTGTTGACTTGAGATCCGACTTTCTTCTGCATTTTTTCAATCTCTTCTTCTGCGTCAACAGTTTCTTCGGAAGCGAAGTCGATTACCAGACGACGGCCAAGAAGATGGGTATCCTTGAGAGCCTCTAGTGCATTCTCCGCTTCACGAGCCGTAATGAAGTCTGCAAAAGCGAAACCACGTGTTGAGTGATCAAATTTCTTGGGCATGCGCACCGATCGGAGCTGCCCATACGTCCCAAACAGTTTTCGAATATCCGATTTGGAAGCTTCGAACGGTAAATTCTTGACAATGAGTTTTGTACGTTTGCCCGCCAACTTCTTAGCTCTGTCCTCTTTCCTTTTCTCCTCAGCAGCATCAGCTCCCTTGTGCGACGCCTTAACCAGCAACTTATGATTGTCAAGTGTGTATCCATCCATTGCTTTGATTGCCGCCTGTGCTTGGGATTTAGTTCTGAATTCGATGAAGCCAAAACCCATACTAAGCACTTGGCCAGGTTTCTTTGAATCCGTCTTTGTATTAACGCGTGCCGATAAAAAGCCATCAAGGGGCTTGAAAATTTCCGTGAGACGTTGACTGGTAGTACTGAAGTTGAGATTACGGACGAACAATGTAGTTGTATCCACATTTTCAACGCCACTATCTCTTTCGAGAAGATCAGATGTTGATAATTTAGGATCTGCTGCGTTGTCCGCATTCCTGTTGATTGTTGCCACCGGTTGAGCAGGTGGAGGTCCTGTGAAAAGGTCCTTGGGCGCCTTTTCTAGGAATAGTACAGTGTCCTTCATACGTCGATATGCAAGGCTTGCAAATGCTGCTCTTGCGTGTGTTGGCTGTGCAAATTCAACAATTGCGATCGTACCAGTCGGGGGCATGAGAACACGAATGACCTGACCAAATTCTTCGAACATCTTCCGAAGTTCTTCTAGAGTCATGCCATAGGTGAAGTTTTTGACCAAAATGGCTGTATCGCCACGCTCACGTTTCTTGAACGCATCAAGATCAACTCCGTTATTCGCAAAGTACGATTTAGTTTCTTGGATGACCGAAGTCTCAGCAATGGCTTGCTTGACTCCAGCATCTGCCGAAGTTGGGTCAAGAAGCTCGGATTTCGAGACCCCCAAACGTTCAGCCACCGATGAATTGACTGCATCCTGATTCATATACAAAGAGTTCCAATTGAATGTGCTAGAGGAAGAATCGGCCTTCTTCTTGAGAAGTCTTTGCTTCTTCAAGGGAAGCTTTGCTATCGCAAACTCGTCTAGCTTGTTATCTCGTTTAGCTGCAGCAGGTAATATGTGCAGCAACCTTCCTTGGAAAGGCTCGCCATCGACATTATGATATGCTTCAGCAGCAGCATTTGGATCTGTGTATTGTACAAGGACAAATCCTTTACTGGCACCTTTGGCGTCTACTGGTAAGTGTATCTAAAATTTGGTCAGTGAGCCCTACTAAAACAAATCAAAACAGACACGAAAATGGCTGACGATAGCTTTCAGAAAACACGAAGCATCTACTAAAATATTCGTCCAGTTCACATCACGTGCCTTTAGCATAAGCTGTCCCTATCTGGATATTCATCATAAAGCTGGAAGGAAAAGAAAACATGTCGACAAGTTTCGTTGCTTACCTCTTCTAAAGCTCCGTATTGTTCAAAGTGCTTCCGAAGATCATCCTCTGTTGCACTGTATGGTAAGTTCCGAACGAACAGTCGACCACTGGCTTTGATCATTTCAAGTGTCGTATCCAGTTCTGAAGGTGAATTCTCCGTCTGTTCTTCTACGACTTGTGCTTCGTCGGCAACCGTATCTTCAACTGCTGTATTGGGTCCTGTTTCTCCTGCAACCACCTCTTCAACATCCTTGACGTCTAAGTTTTGTGTTTTGGGAATAATATCTTCCGGATCCACTATATCTAATAGACGATTCGTATGACTCCTCAACCAATCATCATCCGTGGCTTCAACTTCATTGGAAGGTGCATCGACCATCGCCTCATCCGCTTGGTTGGCACTGTCGGCAACAATAGTTGAAGGGATCGGTGCAATAGGCGCTTTTGATTCGATGGGGTTTGCAGGAGCCTTCTTGGGCTTACTAGGTACTGACTGATATTCGTCGTCGCTTTCTCCCTCTGGCACTTCAATGGCCTGTAACTTCGTTGGCGGTTCCTCCATATCAGTATCCATGGTCCCAGCTTTCCACATATTCGCGTTCGATTTCGAGGCCGGCTGCATGACCTCCAAAAATTCCTGTAGCTTGGGATCTGCAATATCGACATCGCTTCGTTTCCGCTTGGTTCCAGCATTCAGGCTCTCAGAGACTTTTGCATCCGCATCTTGCTTCAATTGCCGCAGCTTGTTATTTTCCCGTTCTTGTTCACGTTGTGCTTTCCTCGATACAGGTAAAGATGAATCTGATATCTTTCACGATCTCAGTATAAATCTCTTCACAATTTGATGTTTTTCTCGAGGATCACTTACAGGTCTGGCAATTTCCACGCCAATCTTTGACATTCGTACGAATGATTTGTTGAAGTGTTTGACTGCCTTTGCAGCTTCTTCTGGTGTTTTGTATCCAATATAACCGATTCGTCGGTGAGAGATCAATTTTGCATCCGTAATTTCTTGCTTCGCACCGAAATGCGTTTTGAACTCATCCTCGGTGATATTTGGAGGAAGTCCCTTTATGAATATACGAGAAGAGGCCATGTTGAAACGTTGATATTGTAACTGTTTGTGTTTTTCGTAATTTATCTGCGCATTGATTTGATGTGATGGACTATGATGGCGCAAAGTTACGTTTTCGTAGGCTAAGAAATGAGAATGTTCGATTATCAAAATATTTTTTTCTTAGGAAGGATATCCGCAGCGGAGCTACTCTAGCATATTTTTCTTTAGCCTTGAGCTTAATTGAGCAGTGCCGCAAGGTGAGCCGTGCTCAACACTTGATGCAAGAAAATCCGCAACGAAATCTAGACAGAGGTACAACCAATAGGAACGACGTACTACTTGGTAGGTATTAATAAATACCTATGGCCATCATCATCAAAAAATTGAAAAGCAGCAACTTCTCTATGATTGATTCCAATAAAGTGAATTATACTTATACATCAACATTTGTCATCCAACTTTAAGATCTTAACCTACCTACGCCCTCACTATTTGTGATAACTTTATCGTGAGCCAGATCTTGTCAATAGATTGCCTAGGTAGTCTTTGGATCGCTGCAACACCTTCTCACTTGCATTGCAAAACTTCGGCTAAATTATCAGCCTTTCTCTCTTCCTCCTTTCTCCACAACTTCCGATTGTATTCTAGAAGAGACAATTCCCTATTTCGATAACTCTACAAGCATTGCAATTACACATATAGAAAATCAGATCAACACGCACAAAATCCAAATAAACAAAATGGCAGCCACTCAACAACCAGCTGAAGAGTCCCTGGCAGGTATGTATAAGTCCCGACTTTTTAAAACTTCTGTTCGGCCGCTCCGGGGAGTTTTTGGTAGTATACTAACTAACTATGATGTACTACAGCTCAAATTAAGTCGGTCGACATGGTGCGCTCTTTATACTCTCTGCGATGATATGCGACGGCTACTAACTATTCAACAGAGCGACGACATGTCAGACGAGGCTATTGAAGTTTGTATGTCTTATCCTATAGATGCAATCACAACGGGGGCGGTATGAATGTATCCATAAGATGTTAATGGAATATACAGGTCGACAAGCTATGGCTAAACATTCGGTTGAGAAGGTATGATATTGTTTGTTTCGATCCCCTTTTCATGTGCTAACATGATCTACTGCAGGATATCGCACAATACATCAAGAAAGCTGTACGTACTTAAAGCTCGCGCTATTATAGCAAACAATGAACGAGGTACTTAATTGTCAAATTAGTTCGATGAGAAACGAGGTCCAACATGGCATTGTATCGTTGGTCGAAACTTTGGATCATTTGTCACCCATGGTATTTTGCCCTTAAGCCTCAAAATAGTTGTTTCTCCTATCTGACTTTTTCGCCGCAGAAACGAAACACTTCATCTACTTCTATCTCGGCCACTGCGCGATTCTCCTCTTCAAGACCCAATAAACATTTCGATTTCGCTCACAAACGGCACGAACAGCTCTTACTTTTTTGAGAAAGGTTTCAATGTAACAATGCAGAGGATATAAAAGAGGACAATCAGTAATGAGATGAAGCGGTGTTTAGGAAAGGACGTCACAAATTGGCCCTGGAGTTTGTTTTTTCAATTGTCGGATAAGTTATGGTATCAGGAGAAATTGAATCAGATTTCTTAGCAATTGTGTGTGCAATTTGCGGTGTGGCTCTCGTTGATCGCCGAATAACCAGCCGTGAAATTCATTGTCTGCCAACCATCGATATATTTACTTTCCAAACGCCGGTGTCTTTCAAGCGCGAAGGAGAGAGTATTATCGATCGGCAGGGGCATAAAATTTCGTCAAGTATTGTTTGTGTTCTGGTCATAGAATGTCTCTCGGGATACTTCAAGCAACCGCAGCCAACTTTGATTCGAACGACACAACCCAGTTCAATTGACTCAGGCCTTCCTATCATATCCTATTTTCCGTTCCTTTGCAAACTCCAAATCCAAGATTTTGCACTTCCAATACCCCGGCTTCTACGGCCTTTCAAAGTCCATACATCCATCCATGTGACTTCTAAAATCGAGATCAAACCTCCCCTGATCGAAATAAGCGTAAGCGCCTCGTATACTTACCCATCCCAAGCAAGACCAACACGACCGTTGCAAATTCCAACCTCAGCTCCAACCAAGCTCCAACAAAAACCCCAGCTCCAAAACTCAGCTGCAACACAATACCGATACCGGTCCGTCGGTACCGGTCTATCGGTATTCGCGCTGTGCTGTGCTCGCTTGAGGATCCTGACGACAAATCTTGATGTGTACGGATGTACCTTGGTAGGTAGGTAACTTCAATACCCTGGTTTACCTGGACGCATTTGACTTCAGTACATTTATACTCAATTCAGCTGTGTGGAATTAAATACAAATATATGGAGCTACTGTGTAGCTGATTAATGTGACTAGGTACAGGAATCTACGATGTATGTTGCAATATCAGCTCATCATTCCACTTTTTTCTATTCCCTCACAGTTACATCATATCATACTATGTCTTCCATAATATCTGCACGCTTACCCACCCCCCTCCGTAATATTCCTTCCATCCCACTCTTCCTCGATGAGCGAATTCAACATTAAGTTGTATTATAAAGCAAGACTTTTTTACATCACATAAGCATTCACATGCCAACCATCATATATTATCAAATTTGATCTTTATTCTGATTTTGGCTTCTGCTATAAGAATTTGCATCCCGAAATCCACTTCTCTCTCCCCCCTATCTCTCTCTGGGGCATATGTAATTACTCCCCATAATCACCTGTATCTGTGTCTTGACCTGTATCTTGTCTTTCATCTCCATCTTCAAATGCAATCCCCATATGTGCAGTAACCGCATATCAATCATCCTCCCGTCGTTCAGCAATGTGCAATTCTCCATCCATTCATCCCCCACCCAATTCCAAACCCAGTCCTAAATGCCTATCCCCAAACTTGTATATCCACATTACGCATTCGCATCCTGAGGCATATCCATAAACCAGATGACCCAGAAACTCCTTTTGATTCAATGGAGCAAATTGACTTCCAGAGATAGAAAAAAAATGAATAAAAGAAAGAAGACGCCGAATCCATTCCGTGTCCATTCCCAAAGGGTATTTAGTTGAAGCTCCATCCACGGAGAAGTAAAAAAAAATCTCAAATTTTGTGAAAACAAGAAAGTAAAATGAAATTGAAAAGTGTTCGGTTTTGCCTGCCGTGGTAAATGCCCGTGTTACTCCATATGCAGAAAACAGATAAATTGAGAAGCCTGCCGCTTCACCTGTCGTGTATAGTGTGTGTGTGTGTGTGTGTGTGTGTGTGTGTGCAGTAAATGGATAGTATAATCGCAGTCAAAGCAGTCGTTTTGTGTTGAGAATTATCGCATGTGTAGCGATGTAATGAAAGACCGATTCAGTCATGTCAAATGAGAAGTGAAGCAGAGCCATTTCATTCTTCGATGATCCCCTCCAGAATCTGTTTCTTCAAGTCGCTCAGGCGCTCATGCATTGCGAGAAGCTTCTCTTCCTCTATAGGATTTTTAACCCTCGATGTTGCCAATTCATTATGAAGCTTGAGATAGATAGGATAAAATCTCTTGTAGTTTTCGGCCAAGTCCAATACACCAGGTCTCAAACGGCGGGTACTATCGGTGGATGAGACTGACGAGGCAACACTGGATGACTTTTGGTGGCGTTTATGAATAGGTGATCGATTGTTGCGAGTATTGGACAAAGTGTGATGATTGGGAGGAGAAGTAGATGTCGATGATCGACCACCAGAAGATGTATTTCCGAAATCCGATGCATTGGTCGGTGGCGAGGAAGCCAAAGGTGATGATTTCTGTGGGGAGTTTGCTTTGCCTTTGAAGGAATTCGAAGAAGAGGTCGTAGAATTGGAGCTTGGACGAGATGATTGACTAGCATCTGAAACTCGATGTGAATTGGTAGTATCCTTCTTGATCTTCTTACTTAAAGGTAAGCTCGAATCGCTAGAATCCATTTCTTCGTTACGACCTCGTTTGCTGTTGACATTCTCTTTCTTGACTGGGGCCTTGGTAACTTGAGGCTTCTTGATTGGAACTTCTTCTTCGTCGGATTCGACAACATATTGGGAAGAAAGAGGCTTTGCCGCTGATCCTTTTGGCTTTTCAACTTCCTTCTTCACGGCCTTCGACTTCATAGTGGCTGCTGCTGTTTTTGGAGGATTCTTAGAAAGTAATCTTTTGGCCTGAGCTTCTTTTTCGCTAAGTTTCTTGGGCTTAGTTGTTGGTGGTCCTGAAGCTGATCTGGTTGTAGTCTCAGTCTTCACCTTTGAAGCCATTTTATCGCCAAATACGTCTTCCTCGTCGTTGGATTTTAATTTCGCAGCAGCGCTATTGGTAATTGAAGCTTGCACCTTACTAAGGGACTTTCCAGTTCCTCGCTCCGATTTGGGCAAGAGCTTTTCCCACTCAGGTTCCGATAAGCCCAATCTCATCTTGTCGAAAATCTTAACCGCATTATCAATTGCTCTCTGACGCTCGGCGTCGCTTCCGTATTTGAAGTTGAATACGTCGAGCTCTTTGTAGTAATTTTTGCGGAGTTCCCATTTTCCAGTCGATGTATTGAGGTCTCCTACCTTCGCAATTGCCTGCTTGAGGTCATCTTTTGGACCAGGAATTCGGTTATTGAGTTCCTTCTCAGACATTGGTTCGAGGGCCAGTAGGTGGACTACAGGTTTCCTACTGCTCTTGGCATTCTCGGCTTGTTGCTGGGAGAGAGACTTAGTCGCGCCTAAAGCTGGACTTCCTAAGCCAGAAAGGGCGGGACTGACTGGCATCGATTTGGTTGCATCGTTTCCGAGCCCCTTGCCCAGGAACTTCGATTTGCTTGTGACCTTGGAGGCTCCTCGTTTTCCAGGGATTTGATTGATGATTTTTGTACTACTGAGGTTAGTTCCCTAGTCCACTTGCAGCAATCTAATTACTACTCACGTATTCCCATCTTTCTTCGCTTGAGCTGTGGCCATCGATTCCCTCAAATTTTCTAACGCTGTATCCTCGCCTGCAGTTGCCGAAGTGGGCTTCTTGCTCGTCTTCATGCTTTCCGCCTTGTAACGAGGTTGCGCACCTGGCCCCAATAACTTCTTGTTGGCGAGGGTAAGCTCACTGAGTACCTGTGGTTTCGACATATTGAAGTGGTCCGAGTCCGTATCGCTGGAATCCGCAGTCTGGTATACTTCGTATTGGAATGGATCGTGGTAAGTGGAAAGAATGTGAGATTTGTTGCCATATATCAGATTCTAGTTTGCAGAAAAGGAAATCAGTTAGCAATTGTTTTCTGTTCACACAATCAAGTAGATACTATTGTTATTATAGTCAAACATGAATAATTGGTGCCGTACGCTGGAGACGTTCGGCTACCAAAAATCATAGAAACCATGAGGAGCGGGATCTCTTACGGGATGTCCACCCAATGATAATTCTATTGGTTTGTTATTCTGATAACATTTGATCATGTCCTCGATCATTGCATTGCTCAAAGTCAAGCCAATAGCAGGTGTAACATTTGTGGCAGACTTGTTGGAGGGTGGATTACTCTCCAGCCTCAAGCCGGCTTGGGGAATATCTAACGATGGAGACATCTTGTGGATTTGACTGAACAACTCGGGTTGAAACAGTAAGGTGGTTTTGTTTGTATGATGATAAGATTTTGAGGTTATAAGGTGTATTCGTTCTCTCTCGTTCTGCTGGCTCTGGCCAGGGATCGCTCTTAAATGAGGTTCAGCATGAAGTCGAATCACAAGTTCATCTACCAGCGAAAAGGGTGAATGAGTATGATTTCATAGGTAATGAAAGTTGACCACTCTGAATCTTTGAACAATTCGCAATGAATGATTCGAAGTTCGATTACATATAGAATAGAATAGTAACAATTATCTGGTATGAATGAATCAACCTTACAATCAATTAGGTGATGAAGTTGGAAGAAGAGTGAAGTCGTAGGAATCTCTACGGCATGGAAGTTCGGAGAGACATGAACAGCCCTTTGTGTTGGAGAAGCTAAACTGGGTCTGGCTGGGCTGGGTTATGGGCTTGCATGGGTATTTAGAATAACTCGCCTCCACCTCAGATCATTTTTTGATTCGCTGTAAAGTGCACAAGGTGCACAAACTAAATTTACTAAGGGTGATTCGGAAAAGCGTGGATATATTTGTGTGGATGTTTGGGTTGTCTAACAATGTGAGACCCTCTTTTTTGATTTATTTGGAAAGTAAGAAAAGTATTACCCAAGTACCTAGATAAAGAGAATACTAATACTGGATCGTATTGTATGATTTCTCATATATTTAGATGGAGAAAAAAACGAAGAAAGGGCAGAGTTAGAAAGGAGAAAGGGGGGTAGAACAACAAAAAGATTATATCAATTTCCTACCGCTCTTTCATCAAGAACATGCTATTATTATCATTCATTGTTGCTGTTATCGTTATGCAAGTTCTTGCTGGCTGGCTGGCTGGTTGGCTGGCCGGCTTGCTTGCTTTCTTCTCAGGTCATTCAGTAGGTATTTAAGTCACTCTCGATAGTCAGTCATGCTTCCTCTCTACACTACCTTTCCTAGTACTTCCGTACATGATTCTCCCGTACGATTCACCGACTGGGGTTCTTGGTTGCAGCATGAACAGGGATATCATTTAGGTATGGAAAGTCATTTAGTAAGGATGCATCGTATATTGTGAATTGTACACCCAATCTTGTGCTACAGCTCATTCATTCCAAGTAATATTCTCATAGGGCGGACATCAAACCACACTCATGATTGAAGAACGCCTGTTGGTGGCAAAAACAGGGTAACACACACTGAACCATGAAACCAAACTTTATTTATATAAAGTTTTCGATAACCCTATTGAGTATTACTTTTTTCCTCTTCTGGTACAACAGAAATTACAGCATGAAGCTATCTACCCTACCTACCTATCTGCTACATGTATACCTGGGTACCTTCCAAACCACACCTTTGCAACTCAAGTCCTCCAGCTATTCAGATTGTATGTTGCTTTCACTTCGTAGTTCAAGATAATAATGCTACACTCTTGTTGTGTCTTTGCGGGTGTTTATCTCCCCTACAATATCCGTGAATCTTTGAGTCCCCTCTCATATCTTCGGGTATTATCTACATTGACCCATCTTTCTTACAAGCTCTCAACCCTCTTTTCCCGAGTCGAGTACGAACTGGATATATAGAGACGGCTTGAATATGATATACTTGTTTCAAGAAGAGCCCAGAAGAGATGAACAAGAGCTTCAGAGATCCTGCTGACTGCCACTTTTCGAAAACCGTAAGATCTTGTACCGAATTTTACGATTGCGCTTACTGTGTCAGGCCAAGAACAACGAACACAGCCTTCAGCTCTTCTTTTTTCGAGTTCCTGGGACTTATTTTAAGTTAAGGTAGCCATCTTCAAGTCTTTTGCACTGACTGCACTGCATTGCTGCCGAACTGTACCTGACTTGAACGATTCGCATTCAAGGATTCCAGATCCCTAGATCCCAATTGTCGTTGGTTTTTAACAAGGATAGTTTGGATGATTCTCTGATATTCACCTGTTGATGATTAAACCTCCGGAATATACAATAAGATTGCCTGTGTATATAACGTAATTTATTAGCATATGGGTCATATCAGCATGTAGGCCACTTTCACCTCAATTTACACTTTTCTCTTTCAATATATATTTTATTAATAATCTATAATAAATTCGAATAATTAAGAAGCTTATATATTCTTTATTATTGAAGTTATTCAAAAAGATAAAAAACTAAGTATTCAAAAGATTATTAAAATATATAATGTTTTGTATATAATATTATAGTATAGAATTGATAATTTTATTTTTTGTAACGTGTTTTATTAGTATGCGGGTTATATCAGTATGCGGGTTATTTCGAAAACCATCTAAATCAAGCTTTTTAAAATATTAATATTTTAATAACTAATTATTGTTTTCTTGAATAAAAGATCTTAGAAAAAAATTAAAGTCTAGGTTTTCTATTAATCTAATTTTTATAAAATAATTTTATTGTTTTCTAAAAAAAAAGGAAATTGTTACAATTTTCATTACAAAAAAACTATTTTTATAATAACAACTTTATAAATTCGAATTTCTTAAAATTAATTAGATTTTTAAAATTTTTATATATTCAAATATTTTATATCAAATTTTCAGAAAATTATATCTATAAATAAAGAAAGTGTATGATTACGTACAAACGAATTTTGTATGTAAAATAAGTGACTCGCATACTGATATGTATTACGAAGGTACTCGTATCGCAATATGGATTATAAGATAAACCTTAGGTCTTAGTATTAGAATCTATGAAAACAGTATTATAAGAATAGAAGAATTAAAGAATGACTAGAGATAGTAATAACCAGATAAATAATTAGTAATTAAAAGATAAATATTTATCTTTTATTACTACTTACTTTATAATAGATATGGGATATTCAGTAGTTATAGATTATTTAATAAATATAGGTTAAATAGCAATTATTATTTATCTAATAAGTATAAATTAATTAATAAATACAAATTAGATAAACAATAGCTTTATTAGAAATTATAAAATAAATATTATATAATTGAAAGCTAATCGATTTGTTGAATTGATTGATTTATTAATTGATTTTAGGAAATAAAGATTTATATAAAGGAATAGGTTTATTATAATATAAAGTTTTATGCTTAAGATAATTATTAATTTCATACTATAATTACAAGAATTACAAATAGTTATAACCTTATTGAATTTTTATTTGAAATCTAATTTAAATCATTTCAAAAGATTTCTAGACATTTTTATATAATTCTAGAGATAACTTCTGTAACACTTTGAATATCTTTTCTGCTTTAAATATTAATTCAATATTAATTATTAATATGATAGCTAATAATTCTTCTAAAGGCTAACAAATTTCAATAATCAATTTCAATAATATTGAAATAACTAATACTCCCAAGGAGATTATTATTAACAAAATATTCAAGATTATTTTATTAAATAAATATCAAAAAAATTAATAGAAACTCAACATTTTCCTATTACAATTAGAAATCTATTTTAGATTTAATCAAAACAAATTCATTAAAAATGAATTTAAGAATATATAAGTCTTATTATATCTTTAAAAAGAAATAAATAAATAAATTCAGCTATACTTATATAACTATTTTGAATATAATAATAAAAAATATATATAACTGATAAGAATTATTTTCAATAGTTTTAAAGAATTCAAAATAAAGATTTATAGAATCTTTAGAAACTTTAATAAATTAGAAATAATAATAAAAAAGATCTTTAATTTCAAATAAATAGAATTAGTATTGAAATATATTATAGAATTTCAAAGATATATAGAAACAATTAAATAGAATAATATCACTATTATAAATCATTATTATAAAAAACTCAAATCAGAAATATATTTGGAATTTGATAGAGAAAAAAGAATAATAATTTAAACAAATTAATTAAAAGTTTTATTAATATTAATAATTGTTTATATAAATATAAATAAATTTAATAATTATATAAACTTTAGATAAATTATAAGTAAGAATATTATTACAAAAATAAGAATAGATTATATTATAATTTATAAAGATATAAAAATCTTATAGAATTAAATACTATTTATTATAAAACTAGGAATAATAATGTAGAAAAAAAACAAAAACAATAAAATTATTTATACTTTAAATATAGAAAAGCAGAATATTAAGTAATAAATTATCAAAATAAGAAAATAGAAAAAAAAAAGTAATTTTAAGAATAAGTTTAATAAAAACCAATTTAATATCATTTTTGTATTATAGTTGTATGTTATTAATAAAGCAGAGTTAGCTATACTACTATTAACTTACAAAAAGAAACTTGGGGGTGAATTTGAAAAAAAAGAGTTTAAAAAAGAATTCAAAGAAAAAGAAATCAAATGCTTTTTATAAATAAATAAAGACCTATAGAAAAGAGATTTATAGATAATCTAACAAATCGATTAATAAAATTATTATATTTAGAGATTCAAAAACACTAATAAAAGAACTATTAACTATAACCTTAGTATAATAAATATTAAGGAAAATAAGACTTATAAGATTAGATATATCGATTAATACTAAATCCTCTGATTCAGAATTACTACAAATTCATCCTTTATAAAGAGAATTAATAATAAATACCTAAAATAATTAAACTAAAAAGAATTATAGAAAATCTTTTATTATTATATATTAAAAAAAAAGCTATATTTTGTTTTTATATAAAAAGATTGAAAAAGAATATTATATTTAAGTTTAAGCTATATTACTATTACTAATGATAGAAATAATAATAAAAATCTCCCAAAGGATATATCAATACACTTTATAAAAGAATTTACTTAATAATAAAATCAAATCAAAAACAAATATTATTTATTTAGAAAAAAAAAGCCTTAATAAATAATTTTAAATAACAAAATCATTTAGGAGAATAAGAGTAATCAAGAAATATTATAATTAAATACTATAGAATAAATAAAACAAATATATTATAGAATCAATATAAATAGATAATTATAATAGATTATAATAAATTCAGAAAATATAGGAAATTTTATTATATTAAAGACTATAGAATACTTAAAAGTTTTACTCCAAAAAAAACAATAATTCTATTAATTATAGCTAATTAATAATCAATTAATAGAATCTAACAAAAATGTTTTATAAAAGATATAATCAATATAAATAAATATAAACCAATATTCGAAGATTATATAGCTTAATATTATATCATTGAATTAATAATAGATTATCCTAGGAATATTATAGTTAAAGATATACAATCCTAGAATAAATTGGTTATAAAAAACAATAATATTTGATTAGTACAAAAACAATCACAAGAATATATTTAAAATGTTTGTAGAATAGGATATATATTAAGAGGAATTGAATATAAACAACTCTA